ATTATTAAAATTTATATATTTTATATAACGTATAAAATCTTTTTAATAAATATAAAACTTATAATAAAATATTATTATAAAAAAATATAAATATACGTTAATATTTATATATATTATTATATATATATTTAAATTTTTAAAAAATTTTATATTTATATAAAATCTTATTATAAAAATAAAATATAAATTAATGTTTGGAATTTTTTTATTTATATATAAAAACATTTTTAAAGTAAATGTTTTTTATATTTATTTATTAAAAATAACTTTTTTAATTATATATTATTATATTTTAAAATTAATTTTTTTAATTATATAAATTTTTTTTATTATAAATAAAATATGTTAATAATTATAAATATTAATCCGTTTATAAATAATAATAAAAAATTAAAAATAAAAGTTTTAATATTTAAAAAATAAATTAAAAATTTTAAAAAAATATTATTATTTAATAAAATATATTTAATTTAATTAAAGTTTTTATAAAATTTATATTAAATTTAAAAAATATAAATAAAAAAATTTGGAAAGCTTTTATCTTTAATTATAATTATATTTTTAATAAAATAATTTTTATTTATAATTTAATAAATATTAATAATAATTTTTAAAAATATTATAAAAAAATTAATATAAAAAAAGTTGTTATATTAAATAATAATAAAAACGCAAATAAATTATTTAAATAAAAACTCTTTTAATAAATATTAATTTATTAAAAAAATTTAAATATTAATTTTATTTTTAATTTCATTTAAAACTTATTATTAACAAAATAATTAATGAAAATTATTTTAAATTATTTTAAAATCATTTATATATTTATAAAATTTAATTATAAATTTAATTATTTAATTAATTAATTATATAATAATATTATTTTAAAAAATTATTTTATATTAAATATTATATAATAAATTAAAAGTTAATTTAATTTTTTTTAACTTTAATATTATAATATATAAAATAATTAAATTTACAATTTATATTTATATTTTTAAAAATAATATATTTAAAAGTATAAATTATATTTTAAAATAATTAAAAAAGTTTATAATATTTTTAAATATTAATATATATTTTAAAATCTTTTTTATAAAATATATTATAATTTAAATAAATTTAATAAATTTAAAAGAAAAATAATATTGTTAAATTAAATTCTTTTTAAATAATGTATAAAATAATTTCTTTAAAAAAACATTTATTTTAAATATTTTAAATAATAAAATAATTAAAAATAATATTTTAATATAATTATTAATTTGTTTATAATTAATTATTTTAATAATAATTATTTTATATTTAATATTAATATTTTAATAAAATTATTATAAATTTTTAATTATAAAAAAATTAATTTTAAAAAATATTAAATTTAAAAAAAGATTTATTTAATATATTTATATTATTAAATAATAATATTTTTATAAAAATTAAAAAAAAAACCGTAAACTTTTTAAAATTTACCGTTAAATATTTACACGAAAATTTAATAAATTAAAAAAAGTTTAAAAATATAAAATTAAATTACTAATTTAAAATTTTTAATAAAAATTTAAAATTAATTTTAATAAAACTTTTACTTTAACAATAATATTATTTATTTAATATTATTTTTTAATTTAAATTATTTTATATAATTAAAATATTAAATAAATTAATTTTATTAATACCTTTTTAAATAATAACTTTAAAAAATTAATTATTAAATAGAAATATAACTTTATTAAAAATCAAGTTTTTAAATTATTAAAAATAATATATAGTTTAAAATAAACCTTAAAATAATAATAAATATTATGATTTATTTTATTTAAATAATTAAAATATAACCTTTTAATTAATAATTTTTTAATATATTATAATGTTTTAATTAATACGTTTATTATAATATATATTAATAATTATTTAATTATTAAACTTAATAAAAAAAATTTAAAATTTAAAATTATAAATTAACAAAATTTATTTTATAAAAAACTAAAACCTTATAAAATAATTTTTAAACGTTAAAATTTATTAAAATTGTTTAAATTATATTTTATTTATTATTTAAATATAATACGTATATAAAACCTTAAAAAAATATAATTTATAAAACGTTAAAACTATTAAAATATTATTATAATTTAAAATTATAACGTTAAAAAAATACAACTTTAAATTAAATTATTTAAAAATTATTTTATACTAATTTATAATAAAAATATTAATATATTTAATATTAATTTTAAAACTTAATATTATTTACTTTATATAATAATTTACCAAATATATATTTAAACTTTATACAACACATTTTATAACAATTAAAAATATATTTAAATTTGTTAAAAAATATTAAATTAAAATTAATTTATTACAATTTATTTAATTTTTAAAATAATTAATTAATAAATTAATAAAAATTTTAACCTTTGTAAAATAATAACGTTTTTAAACTATATTAAACTTTAAAAAATATATAAAATATTTTAAAATTAATAAATTATTAAAAATTAATATTTAAAAAATACGTTATAAAATTTAAAAAAAAAATATTTAAATATAATATATTTATTTTATAATAAATATTTTAAAATTTACTTTATAATATAAAAAATAATATTAATATTTTAATTTTTAATTTTAAAATTATTTTCTTTTAAAAACAAACCTCCGTAATAAATTTTTAATTAAATTTTTATAATAAATTATATAAAATTTATTATAAAAACTATATAATTTAATAAAAAATAAAAAGAATATATTTAATATATATTTTATAAAAATGATAAATATATATATATAAAAAATTCCTTTTATTTTACTTTTTTTTTATTAAAATTAAAATATTATATTTTAATTATTTTATAATTTTTATTTTTAAATTAAATTAAATTTTTTTTTAAAACTTAATTTTATTATATTTAATTATTTTATAACTATCCGATATTTATTATTTAAAATTTACTTTACATATATAAAATTATTTATTTTTTAATTAATTAATTATTATATTAAATTATTAAATTTTTTACAAAATTTATTTTATATTTAATTATTTTATATTAAATATATTTAAATATTATTTTATATTTAAATAAAAAGATTTATTTTTATTTATTTTATATTAAATTTTAAAACTTACTTTATATTTATTTAATATTAGTTTTTTATAATTTATTTTAAAATTATTTTATAATAATTTTAATATTTAAATAAATCACCGTTAATTTAATTTTTATATAAATTTACTTAAAATTACCAATATTTTTTATTAAATATAACGTATAATTAATTATTTTATAATTATTTTATAATTGTTTAATATTTACTTTATACTTTTATTATTTTAATAAAATTTTTAAATTATTAATTATTAATAACTTTTTTATTAATGTTTTAAATTAAATATTTTTAAATATTTTATTTATAATTTATAAATATAAACACATAAACCATATATTTTATAACGTAAATAAATGCAATTTATTTTTAAAAAAATATTAAGTTTAAAAATTAAAATTATTTTTTTTTACTTTTTTAAATTTAAGTTATTATAACGTTTTTATAAAGTAAAAATGTAAATTATACGGTATTATACGTATAATGCGTAATATACGTATAATATACATTATATAATTAAATAATTATATAATTATAATATATTTTTTTAATTTTAACCACGTAAATTTTTTTAATTATAATAACATTTATTTTAATTTTTAAAATTAATAATTTAAATTAAAATACGATTTAAAAATGTTTTTACATTTAATTAATTTAAAAAAATCGATTAAAATAATTTTAATTAAAAACACGTTATATATAAATATTATAAAAAAATTTATATGTTAAATTAAATTTATATAATTTATAAAAACATTTAATTAATTATAATTTTAAATATAATGTTTTATTATTAATGTTATTTCGATTTAATATTAACGTATTAAATAAAAAAAACCGTTTTTAATTATACGTATAATTAATTAATTATGCGGTATTATATAATATTATACGGTATTATACGTTAATCGTATAATAAAATTCGCATTTTTATTATAAAAAATGTTTTTAAATATAACATAAATTATATCATTTTTTATTTTAATAAATTTAAATTATAAATTTAAAATTATTTATATAATTATACTTTTTTTAATTATATAACTTTTTAATTAATTATAACTTTAATATAATTTTAAAAACAATTTTAAATTTTTAATTTAAAATAATTTAAAAGATTTTTATTATAATTAATTGTTTAATATTAAAAATATAATATTAAAATAATATTAAAAACAATAATATTAATACGTTTAAAGTAAATTTTAATTAATTTAAAACATTTATTAACTTTATTAATAATAAATATACGCGTTTTAAACTTTTTAAAATAATAATTAACTGTAATATTAACCGTAATACCGGTTATAACACCGGTTATAATACCGGTTATAACATTTTTAAAAATATATTACGTTAAAGTTTATAATATTATAACGTAATACCGTATAAATATATAAAAAAAATAAAAAGGTAAAAAATAATAATATTTATTTTAAATCATAAAAATAAAAATTATTTTATATATAATTATAAATATAAACGCGCGGATATAAATGTTAAACGTATAAATATAAATGTTAATATAACATTTTTAATATTATTACGTATTTTTAAACGTTAAAACTTATAATATTATAACGTAATACCGTATAAATATATATAAAAAAATAAAAAAGTAAAAAAAAAATAATATTAATTTTAAATTATAAAAATAAAAAATATTTTATACGTTATTATTAAATATTAAATCATTATAAATATAAAGTTTAATTTTTAAAAAAAATATTTTAATTATAATTAAACACGTTAAACATATTTTAAATTAAAATTCGTTAAAACTTTAGCTTTATATTACCTTTTTAAGCCTTAAACCCACAAATATAATAACACGGACCAGGCGTTTTATGGCGCCTGTGGCGCAATCGGGCGTAAGCCCGATTTCAACGAATTTTAGTCTAAGTTTACTGAGATAAATCATTCCGGCCGTTTTCGGTCTCGGGTGCCGAGCTCCTTTCCCCCCTTTTCTCCGTAATACAGTCCTTCTTTTTCGGCATGATATTTCCCCCGTATTCACGGCCAATATGTATCCAAAGGACTCACATCTCCTTTTGTGATATCCGAATGGATGGCTATGCTGGATGAATTTTTAAGCCGTGTTATTTTTCAAATTGTCACATGTACTGTTTCTTTTTCGCTATTCTCGAGATTTCTCAATTGATATGTCTTTCCGTTGTTATACATGAAGCCCTCCCCTAATCACACGTCTTATTTAAACCATACTACCCTCCATATAGTGTCATTTATATGTTAGACGTTTACCTGTGCAAAGGTGTTTGAGCCCATCACCCTCTCCCCAAGACATTCTTTCTGAACTATCAATTTTGTATTTAAAATACCTTCCTGCAGTTATATATTCCATTTTCAACCACTACCAATAGAATCATATAATGAAGGCCTGGACATGGACTCATGGAGGCTACCCCGAGGCATTACAACAGTCGACACTCCCGCCTGACATAGGGCCACTCGAGTCATCTCAGATCATTATGCGAACAAAGGCTGCATCGATCAACCCTGTCGATGTTCAGTTGATGTCATACCCCCTAATATCACGTCTTCCCGCCTTTCTTGTTCCGCCACACAAAGGCGTAGGTGAGGACTTCTCGGGCGTCGTTGAAGAAGCCGGGCCGAACTCTGGCTTCAAGATCGGTGACGAAGTCCTCGGCATCGCCCCATTCCTCCCCGGGGGTACTCTCCAAGAGACAACTAAAATCGACACCAAGGTATCTGCAGTAGTGCGGAAGCCGGCTGATTGGTCCTGGGAGCAGGCCGCCGCCCTCCCGCTGGTCTGGCTCACGGCCCGAACGACCATTGCCCGTACAGAGTCTCACGTGAAAAGCGGGAAGATAGTTATCTTGGGTGGTAGTTCCAGCTGCGGCATGTACGCTGTCTATCTTGCAAAGCAGCGTGGTTGGACAGTGAAAGCCTCGTGCTCTGGCCGCAATGCCGATTTCGTTCGCAGCATGGGGGCAGACGATATCATCGACTACACAACTACTAACGTTCCTGAACAAGTCAAGGCCTTCGCTCCCGATGCTATCATTGATTTTGTTGGAGGTACGGAATGTCTAGGAATCTCAAAGGCATACGTGACTGTCGTCGGCGACAAAACTGACCGGCTATCCCCGGGTGGCCGGTATATTTACTTATGGAATCCTCAGATGCTCCTGCGTGCCATTGCTGGGAAGATAGGTCTTGGCCAATCTTATACCTGTATCAATCTTGAGTTTAGCGCTTCCTTTTTAAAGGAATTGCTTGATCTACCTAAGGATAAGATCGTTATTGACTCCATATTTGGGTTTGACCAAGTCAAAGAGGCATTTGATAAGCTTAATACGGGGCGTGTAAGGGGCAAGTTAGTCATCAAAATCGCTACGTGAGGGGTTGAAGTAGTGTATAGCTATTGTTTATTTTGGTATTGTCCATTCTTGATAGCTCTTATGGATGTATTTGTCTAGATATGCGAAATTATCTAATTAGTATAAGTCAGTGGAGGACCAACAGACTACCTAGACACCTTGGCCTGGTCGCTCCTGGTTGTTACGTTTTATAGTTCACTACATTTATTACCAGGAACTCTAGTACGAGAGTAGATTCGGTTGTTTATATGTATAGTAAGAGAGTCCCTATAGCTTTAAGTGTTGATCGAACGAATATGGTAGCATTACATCAAATGTATAACCCTTGATCACTTAGAATGGCACTAATTTAGCAGTTAATATGGCAAATGAATTAAGAAATGCCCCTGCCTGGTGAACTTAGGAGGTAGTCTTCCTTCTTATAGTGTGCACTCGAGTTAGTATACGAGTGATCGTTTTAGGTAGATGTTAGGTCTAGGCTTGCACAAGCTTTTGGTGTCTCTGGTGGAATACCATTTCGACCTCACTAAGAACTGACACCCACGAGAGAATTGATTATGCTTTCTGGCAAACTAATAAAATTCTATCGAGGCTCATTTTTAGATGGTACAAGGGAATCAACGTGTCAAGCAGGGTCAAGTATTGTTTACAACAGTTATGACTGGTTTAAAATATCGCCGAGAGGGTAGAGAGCGCCGCCTATCTCGACTTGAATTGTCTAGTATGCGTCCCAAATATCTGCTACCCGAAAGTCATATATATTTATATACTTAACCCGAGTGATCCTAAAGATTCGTACAAATTAGCGTACCCTACTCAACGTTTACTCAGCCTCTTTTTACGAGGTTACACATAATCTCTCAGATATAAAGTAGACCCAACCATAGACAGTTGAGGCTTGTCAGGCGGCATGCTCGAGCAACCGAGGATTGAAAAATATACGCGCCGTATAAGTAGTGAGCTGTTATTAGATGAGTTGAACGTGACTGAAATCCCTCGTCCAATGAGACTATTCAATAACTAGACGACGGCAGTTGATCCCAAGGGATATCCTTTTAGTCTCACCATAGTGAATAATTATGGAGATATTTAGCAAACTCATGATCTTATAGTTTGAACCACCCCAGGTCTCGGCATGGCTGAGAGGACGATGGCCGGATTCGCCCGGTGGCTTCGTATGTATCATAGACGACTATGCGCCAGGACAATTGACTTTAGCGAGAGAGGACTACGAGAGATCCCAAGCCCCAAATTTTGCTTCATAGATTCTTGCTAGAGTGGGCTGAACCAACCTATTACCCCGGTGGCAGACCTGGACGCTGTAAGGAAAATGGAACTAAATGAAATCTCAATGCATACACAGTTGTTGCCTCAAGGCGGGAGACGATACATCCGACTTATCTAATAACCTCCCCTCGTAAAGGGGAGAGGAAATACGGATAGGTATTCCGTTGAAGAGATGACAACAGAGGGAGAAGAGACGTGGGTGCGAACGGTGGATTTAGATATGTTGAAACATGTACGAATATGAGTCGTTTGGTAAGGATTAGGTTGATCTTTCTGGGCATGGTCTCTTTCATTGGCTGTAGCGAGAAGCTATATAGAAGTTGAGAAATGAATATAATAATACCATTGGGGAATATGATTATAATGTGGTGATGGAACTGGGCCTAGCCTTGGCCTGCGGTGCGGGATTAACAAGTCTTTAGGCGTATCAATTTCTATTTATTGAGGTATTGAGGCATTGGCATTGAGGCATTGAGACAGTTGTTGAGAAATGGAGCGACCCAACAGAAATAAGCGTTTCACATCTCTTCGCCTTACGAATAATTAAAACGATATCGTCTAGGCATTCCACAATACATTCGTACTCCGTACTTATTTGTATTAGTGGCTGGCTGCTAACAGTCAGCCACCGTTCTGCCATCGAACGGTGTAGCCCGATGATGGCTGCAGGATATCCGTGACAATCGAATGCCGAGAGTAGCACGATACGCGGCGAGGCGAGCTGTAATCCACTCAGTCCCGCATGTGGCCAAGGAAGAGTCCTGGTTTGGATGAGACAGTAGATGAGACAATTATGTTAAATGTCTCTTATGTGCACCCTAAAAACTCGAGTTTGAAAGGGTTAAGTTGATACGACTAGGTAGATAGCGCTCTATTTTAATAGGTATACCTCTTAGGTTAGGTAGGTAGTGTATATATACCTACTCCTTAGCTAAGCCTGCTGAAGATAAGGCAGGTCGCTAATCCTAGCCTTGTAATTGGGGATACTTCCTACCTTGCATAAGGACGTGCGTGCTACATTAGCTGATTAGGACCCTGCCAGGTGGGCTAGGCGATTGGTGACCGTTGGAAGTAAATACCTCTTAGGGGGGTGAGACATACCAGCCCACCAATACGTATCCAGGCCATCATAGGGCGTTGCCCCTCTTCAACCCCCCGCGCAAGTGACTGGCCAATTCTTCGCCAGGGCTGGACTTTCTCAAGCAAAGTCCATGACAGAGGTGGGGTTAATCCGTAAACTCGTTCTAACCAACTCATTTTAACTTTTCTGAATTGTTCGTATTTTAGAAATACCTCACATCACGTTATTCCGTGGACCCTTCTTCAATCCTCATCTTCCCTCCTTATTGCAGTTCCAACCGTCTTTCTCCCTTTTCTAGTTCAACACATTGTTATCTTCTTCGGGCCTGACTGCACGGCCATCTAAGACCCTTTCTCTACCTTGACGTCCCTGTCTTGACACTGCTCTGAGTAGATTCTAAGCATGTCTGCCTCCTCTCTTGATCACCTTGCCCTAGGTGGTCGTGTCGAATGGCTCGCAAGCCTCAACACGGCTGCTACTCCCCATCAGAATGCCCACCGGCGAACCTCTATCATCTGCACCATCGGACCCAAGACCAACTCGGTTGAGAAGATCAACTCTCTGTTAGTCTAGACCTATCTATGTAACTTCTAGAAGCTAATCTTAGCCCAGTCGACAAGCAGGTCTTAATATCGTCCGCATGGTGAGAATCTCTTCGTAACAATGTCATTCTGTCACGTACTGATTCGGACTATATGTAGAACTTCAGTCATGGGAGCTACGAGTACCACCAATCTGTCATTGACAACACCCGCGCTGCGGAGAAGCAGCAGCCTGGTCGACAAGTCGCCATCGCTCTCGACACAAAGGGGCCCGAGATCCGCACTGGTGATACTGAGCGCGGTGAAGACATCCCCCTCAAGGCCGGAACCGTCCTGAACATTACCACGGATGAGAAGTATAAGACAGCATGCAGCGTAGAGAATATGTATGGTGCAATTCCACTGTAGATATAAAAATAAAATTGTGGTGCTGACAGAATCTGTAGGTATGTTGATTATGCGAACATCACCAAAGTGATCGCGCCGGGAAAGATCATATATGTCGACGATGGTGTGCTTGCCTTCGATGTGCTTAGCATCAAGGACGACAAGACTATCGAAGTCCGCGCCCGAAACAACGGGTTTATCTCCTCCCGAAAGGGTGTCAACCTCCCCGACACTGATGTCGATCTTCCTGCTTTGTCAGAGAAGGACAAGAAAGATCTCCGATTCGGAGTCCAAAACAATGTCGACATGGTTTTCGCCAGCTTCATTCGACGAGGTGAAGACATCCGTGCGATTCGCGAAGTCTTGGGAGAAGATGGTAAACACATTCAGATTATTGCCAAGGTTAGTAATGAATTATCATGCGCTATTCTCTTCCTTATGGTAAACTTGATTGCTAATTAATGGGCCTACAGATTGAGAACCGACAAGGGTAAGTCATTGCTGTCTCGAAAATTGAATTACCTTTTACCTTTTGAGCTATAGCCCCCAGCGCTGTAGAATATCTACTTCGTAAACCTCATGGCTGCGAAACGCTAACAAATAATCTTTTATAGACTGAACAACTTTGATGAAATTCTTCAGGAGACCGACGGTGTTATGGTAGCTCGAGGAGATCTAGGTATTGAGATCCCGGCCTACGAAGTATTCGCCGCCCAGAAGAAGTTGATTGCCAAGTGCAACATTGCTGGTAAACCCGCGATCTGCGCCACACAAATGTTGGAAAGCATGATTACCAATCCTCGCCCAACCAGAGCAGAAATCAGCGACGTTGGTAACGCTGTTACTGACGGAGCTGACTGTGTCATGCTTAGCGGCGAGACCGCCAAAGGTGCGTATCCGGAGCTGGCCGTCCGGGAGATGAGCAACACCTGCCTTGCTGCAGAGAACTCTATCCCCTACGTCAGCCACTACGAGGAGATGGTCTCGTTGTCGAAGCGTCCTACGAGCGTTGTCGAGAGTTGTGCTATGGCTGCGGTACGAGCATCCTTGGACCTGAACGCGGGAGCCATTATCGTTCTGTCAACGTCCGGTGACTCTGCCCGTCTGCTATCGAAGTACCGACCGGTGTGCCCCATCTTCATGGTGACTCGCAACGCGTCCGCGTCACGCTTTGCACACCTGTACCGTGGTGTCTATCCTTTCCTGTTTGACGAAGCAAAGCCAGACTACGACAACGTTAACTGGCAAGAGGATGTAGACCGCCGCATTAAATGGGCCGTTGAGAGGGCGTTAGGATTGGGACTTCTGAACAAGAGCGATGCCATTGTCGTTGTCCAAGGCTGGAGAGGTGGTATGGGTAATACAAACACAACACGGATCGTCAAGGCCGATCCGGCATCCCTAGGATTAGGAATGATGCATTGATAGATGCACTAATAGGAACAAAGAACTTTACGGAAGATAGTTTACTTAAAAGTCTCTACGGCGTTATAAGTCAGAAGGCAACATGATGATGATATTGTTGCCGGTAAGAGGCAACTTGAGATGATCAATATACAGGTATAAATATGATTATGTATATTTCATTTTTTGCCCCTGCTTGCTTTACGCGGTAGTGTACGGATCCGTACATTTATTCTTCTTTATTGTGCAATATGTACCTTCCAAGATGAGCTTGTCGAAATGCGGGTACCTTCATGTTGGTAAGCTCATGTAAAGCTACATGTACCTGTACACTTGCGCGAATACCTAAGGTACATGCATAAGGCCTGTGAGTAATTGAATAAAATTTATTCAATAGATCCACTTATTAGAGCGGCAAGTGCCCCGCGTTTACTAGGGACCCCTCGAAGCCTTTCAACTTTGACTCACGCGAAATTTTGGCGGGGTCATTTTTGGCTTCCTACATCGTCTTGAGATCTGATTGATATTAGAAGTCCTTCATATTTCCCTTAGCCCCTTAAGCAGACCATAGTCCTGGAGGGCTGTCGCGCTTCGCCAAGATGAGCATCAGTTTCCCCAAGACAGAAGAAGAAACCGTGCAATTCTGGCGAGAGGTCGATGCGTTTCAAACTCAATTAAAGCTCACCGAAGGCCAGAAGCGCTTCACCTTCTACGATGGCCCGCCATTTGCAACCGGTCTTCCTCATTACGGCCACCTTCTAACCTCCACGATCAAGGATATTATTCCCCGATATTGGTCTATGAAGGGATATCATGTCGTTCGTCGTTTTGGTTGGGATACTCATGGCCTCCCTATCGAATATGAGATCGATAAGACCTTGGGTGTATCCGGCAGAGATGCCGTCTTACAAATGGGTATAGAAAAGTACAATGCTGAATGTAGAGCTATTGTGATGAGGTTTGCGGCCGAATGGAGACAGACCATTGAGAGACTGGGTCGCTGGATAGATTTCGACAACGGTGAGTCAGGTCACTTGCGCAATAAACTAGTAATAAGGCACTGACGACGAGGGTGAAGACTACAAGTCTATGGACGTCAACTTTATGGAATCTTGCTGGTGGGTTTTCAAGCAGCTCCACGACAAGGACCAGGTCTACCGCGCATACCAGATCATGCCCTTCTCTACCGCACTCTGCACCCCGCTGAGCCATATGGAATCTAAGCAAAACGAGAAGACGACACAAGATCCAGCAGTGTTGATCGCCTTTCCTGTGAAGGACAGGGACTCATCTTTGGTCATATACACCACAACGCCCTGGACGCTACCTTCTAACCTCTTCATTGCTGTTCATCCCGACTTCGAATACGTCGAAATTCTTGACGAAGACACTGGCAAACAATATATCCTTCTCGAAAGTGGAATTTCTATGCTGTACAAGGAGAAGAAGAAGGCAAAATATAAGATCGTTGGCAAGCTTAAGGGGAAAGATATGATCGGTTGGAAGTACGAACCGTTGTTCCGTTACTTCGCCGACCAGTTCGCCGACTGTTTCCAAGTCATAGGCGCCGACTACGTCGAAGCCGACGAGGGTACCGGTCTCGTGCACCAGGCTCCCGCTTTCGGTCAAGAAGATTACGACGCTGCGGTCGCCGCCGGCTTTATAAGTCCAAAGCGCTTACCCCCGTGTCCTGTAGATGATAAAGGTCTCTTTACCGCTGAGATAACCGACTATGCTGGCCAGCACGTGAAAACTGCTGACAAGGCCATTGTCAAGGATCTGAAGGAGACTGGTCGACTACTGCTCGCAACTCAAGTGTCCCACGTGGACAAGTTCTGCTGGCGGTCTGACACACAGCTCATCAGGAAAGCGGTGTCTTCCTGGTTTATTCGGGTCACCAACTCTATACCTGATATGCTTAATAATCTTGAGTCGACTACCTGGGTTCCTTCCTTCGTCAAAGAAAAGCGGTTCACGAACTGGGTCGCGAACGCACATGACTGGAATATTGCTCGGAATCGGTATTGGGGTACGCCAATCCCATTATGGGTCAGCGAGGATTACGAGGAAATTGTCTGCGTAGGAAGCATTGCCGAGCTTAAAGAGCTGAGTGGGTATACCGGCTCGTTAGATGACATCCACCGAGACAAGATTGATGGGATCACAATTCCCTCCAAGAAAGGAAAGGGACAACTTCGCCGTATCGACGAAGTTTTCGATTGCTGGTTCGAGTCAGGCAGTATGCCGTACGCCTCTAACCATTTCCCCTTCGAAAATTCCGAAGAGTTTCATAACGGAAACTTCCCCGCGGATTTTATCGCCGAGGGACTCGACCAAACCCGTAAGCATTGCACTTTTTGTTGGAAGTTATACAACGTTGTCTTGCATTTCGGAGGCATCTTGTCGAGGTACCGTTGTTGCTAACTGTGCCTGACTTTAGGTGGCTGGTTTTACACGTTAAGCGTTCTAGGAAATAAGCTTTTTGGCGTCTCGCCGTTTCGCGCAGTCATTGTAAATGGCCTGGTTTTGGCAGAAGACGGCAAGAAGATGTCCAAGAGCTTAAAGAACTACCCGGATCCTAAAACTGTTATTGATCAGTATGGCTCTGACGCCCTACGCCTCTACCTCATCAACTCTCCTGTCGTCCGTGGCGAGCCTCTACGTTTCAAGGAATCGGGAGTTAAGGAGGTGGTGGCGAAGGTATTACTGCCTCTCTGGAACAGTTACCGCTTCTTTTACGAACAGGCAGTCCTATTCAAGAAGACAACCGGCAATGACTTCGTCGCTCAATTACCAGAAACAACCAATGTAATGGACCGATGGATTCTTGCAGATTGCCAGAGCATGCTGCAGTTTATTGACCAAGAGATGGCCGGTGAGTCTATAACCTGTCCGAAATAGATGGTTCGCTAACCCCACAGGCTATCGTCTATACACCGTCGTACCGCGTCTGCTTCTAGTTATTGACAACTTAACGAACTGGTACATTCGCTTCAACCGGAAGAGACTCAAGGGCGCTGCTGGCTTGGATGTTAAGGACACCAAGGCAGCATTGGATACCCTATGCCAAGTGCTATTCACTTTAGTTCGGGCTTTGGCACCTTTCACGCCCTTCATTACTGAGCATATCTACCGCCTCCTGCAGCCGTATCTTGGCGACGCTCTTGCGGATTATCCCAACTCTAAAAGTGTGCATTTCCTTGCGTTCCCGACTGTGCAGGAGTCACTCTTCGACGAGGTGATCCAAAGAAAGGTGTCTGCCATGCAAAAGGTGATCCAGCTGGCAAGGACTGCGAGGGAGCGTAAAACTATTCCATTGAAGACACCCTTGCTCACCCTCGTGGTTATTGCTGACAAACAGCAACTCGACGATATCGAGGAGCTGCAGACGTATGTTAAGGAGGAGCTCAACATCCGAGACGTGATCCTGACAAACGACGAGGAACGATACGGCATTCACCTCGAGGCTAAGGTTGACTGGCCGATTCTAGGCAAAAAGCTGAAGCGCGACGCCCAGGTCGTCCGCAAAGCACTGCCAGACCTAACGCAGCAGCAGCTTAGACAATATCTAAAAGAGAAGAAGATAACTATCAAGGGTATCGAGCTCGAGGGGAACGATATCAGTATCGTGCGAGCAGTAGCTAAGGATAACCCTAACATCGTAAAAGATGAAGGGGTACAATACGAACCAGCCTTCTTGGAAGATATGATCATTCTCCTGGACACGGCATCGCACCCGGAGCTCATCGACGACGGAATCGCCCGAGACGTCATGACCCGTGTGCAGAAAATGCGGAAGACGGCCGGACTGGTTCCAACAGATGACGTCCGCATGCAGTATAGCGTTGTTTCGAACCCCGACGGTGTTGAATTCGAGACGTTGGTATCCTCCCGGCGATCTCAGTTCGAAAGTACCGTACGCGGGCCGTTGGAGCCTATTGCACCCGAAGGGGTGGCGGAAACTGTCATACTAGAGGAGGAGCACGTTATCAGCAATCTAACCCTATTGCTAAGGTTGTGTCGGCTTTAATTAGACTAGATAGTGAAACTATAGAACCAGCTGGGCTATGTGATCCCAGAATTTGATTTAAAAAAACAACCAGTTGAGCTCAAGAGCCCACGAACAGACACGTCTACAACGGCCGGAAGTGATCACAACGGAATGCCTTCCCTTTGAAATGATGTGTATGTGTGGCTATCTACGTTATCTCGCAGATACGAGGCTTGTTCGTCAACCGTTAAAAATTATAGCAATCCGAGCAATACTATACCCGAGGTTACTTATTACTAGTTGGGTGATAGGGTCTGAAGGCTTATCTTGTTTGTCCGTATAATAACTCCGCGTACACTTAACAGGGTGAAAGACAGTGACATCCAATGCTGAAGAACCAGCTGAAAACATAAGCTTAGGAAGACGAAGTAATTATGGAATTTGAAACAAATTGCGTTTGAAGGTGAGCTGTATTATTGAACTTGACTGTGCCTTTGAGGCGTAAAAACAGGAGAGCTAATATCACCCATGACCCGGAAGGTTGAGAAATAATCCGACGCTTTCATAAAGATGTCGATTCTTACCCTTTTTATGCTATCAAAATCAAAAAAAGAATAAAATCCCACCTCGTTACCTCTAAATACTCAAAAAGGGGTTATCGTAAAGTGATCTGCTCAGTATGCCCATACGTGTACACAGATATGTAGGTAAAGGCAGGGGCGGCTTTGAAGGTCGGGGATTTGTTCTGAGACAGCAGATGTTGATTGGCTGAATCCTAAGGAGTCTCCGGGCTACCCCTGAAGTTATATATAAATGTATCATCAATATGTACCTCCTGTCTTGGGTAATATTAATGTATCTAATTCCTCCCAGTGGTACTTGCGTACGTACGGGCTACGCGATCGAAATTGTTGAAGAGAACTTTATTCACCGTTAGGAGGATGCTAAAAGGGGTCGTCCTGTTTCCGAGTCTTGCACATGTCTCGCAAGAAATTCTTGAAGGATAAACTGTCCCACCAACACTTACGTTTGTCTTTGCGGAGTGTAGACATAGATGCTTAATGTCTTCTTAGTCGATGAGAATTGATTAAAGAAAAGGTGCCTAATAAGAGAATAGTAATAATAGCAAGGAAGATCTGGGGGGCTTTAGCCTTTTGGGAACCGGTCCCCGAGACACAGGGCATAGCGCGTTATCGCATTGGCCCCTATTCGCATTACGGTTGAGATTACACACACACACATACACGCTGTAGGCCAGCGGGATCATCAGTTTAGATGCCACCATCATCACCGCCGCTATCATCATCATCATCATCATCAACAACAGCAACACCATCCTCACGACTACGATCCCCACCGTTATCAGCATCGACGCTGCAACCCTCTGTTTTCTCTCAACATTACCAACGACGACAACAGGGAAGTATTTCGGAGATAAGTACGGCGAAGAGTAATATAAATCATAGTAAAATATTGGATTATAATCGCGGACTAAACGGAGTGGATGGCGACGGTGAAGGTGGGGATGGAATGATAATAAATGGAAGAATAAACGGAAGCACTAGTGGGACTTTTAAGCCTAGCGCTATCCGAATCACCGGACACGGGCCGAAAAGCGAAATCACCGAAGACACGGCTCAAGTAGGAGAAGCAGGAGCGATAAAAGCAGGTACGACTACGACCGCAATTGCATTAACTTTAAGCGCCACTAGTCAAAACCAAAGCCAATCTAGTTTTCAATCTCGTCTCCAATCTCGTCCACATTTGGACCCGAATCTCCATCATTCTGCACGAGACTCTGCACGAGACTCTGCACGAGACTCTGCACGAGACTCTGCACGAGACTCTGCACGAGACTCTGCACGAGACTCTGCACGAGAGCCTGCACGAGAGCCCCATCAAAACCCCCATCCCCTAATTCGTTACAAACATAACCCTAGCCTTCCTAACCCTCTTAGTCCGCCGCCTAGAACCTCATCGCTTCTACCGCCGCCTCGTAGCGCCAACACGAGAACAATATCCCCTGCGATTCCGTCCGAGCGTTCGACTGATTCACCTTTAAATCACTCGCGCAACCATTCGCGCACTCATTCGCGATCTAGTAGCACTGGCGGCGCAAGCGACGGCTTTCGAAACCTCAATCGCTGGTCCACGTCCACTACATCGAGCCTAGCTTCTAATCACGACCACGACACCCCCCAACCCCAACCCCAGTCCCAATTCCAATCTCAGAAGCCGCAACAACAACAACAACAAAAGGTAAAAGAAAAAGATCAGCAACAGCAACAACAGCATCAGGAGGTACAATCCCCGCCGCGGAAACTAGGCAGACGACGACCTAAAGATACGAGCGCGTCACCGAGAACCCGAAGACCATTATCGTCGCCCCCACCGCCTTCTTCTTCTTCCGCGCCACCGAATCTACCCCCTATCATTTCCCTTCCCCCTCTCGACGCGAATCCCGAATCGGTTGTCCGCACCAATTCTCCCGCGCAATCCATAATTCGCGCCAATTCGGCCGAGCCGCAAGACAACACTTGGAATGACCCTACCCGCCCGAACATAGTCGCCAAAGGAAATTCTGCATTGCTTCCATCAGCGCCCGTTATCCGTGATATTATGTCTGAGAGGGAGAGGAAGAGCCATGCAAGAGGTCGCTCTTCAGCTACGAGAGGCAGCACCGACTCAACTCGGGTCAACCGTGTCAACAAGCCGTCGCAGAAAGCCATGTTGTCTAAAGCGTTAGGAAAGGCAAACGCCGCAGTCCAGCTAGATAATGCTCAGAACTACGCTGCAGCCCGGGATTCCTATCTGGAAGCTTGCGATCTCTTACAACAAGTACTTGCTAGGACAAATGGCGAAGAGGATAGGAGGAAGCTGGAGGCCATTGTAAGTTCACCAGTAGAGTTTCGTGATCAACTATTGCTACTGTTTCTGGAATTGACTCATTCTTTTGTAGCGACTTACATACACAAGCCGAATAGACGAGCTGGACGAGTTACTCCCCGCATATTTACAAAGTGATAAAGCCTTACCCGCAAGGCCGGAGAGCGTTGATGACTATCATGGAGTTCAGATCGAATTAGCCGGCTCCGAAGACTCTGCAGAGGCCTCGGGGGGTGCGAGGTTAAATATGGGCGAGTCTCCCCCTCCGGACGCGTCCCGTCTTCGGTCCTCTCCAAATCCCAACCAGGGCCAGCCGCTGCTCCAATCCTCCTTCTCGGGGTCCCGGATGCGGCGAAACTTCGAAGGACCCTCTCTCAGTTTACCCCAGCAGGATGGAGGTTTTGTACCTGCCCCATTATCACCCCGAAGGCCGGTTTCGCCTGCTAAGCCCCCAACACCGGAGCCCATTGTGCGGCAGGATTTCTCCTGGCCAGCTGACCACCTAGCACCCGAGAACGGCGCGAGGAGCCATAAGCGCAATCTCAGTCACGAATCGGGGTCGTGGCTGGATCCAATCGACGAATCAGGTGGTTCGGCTTCGTCCTCGATTCACTCAAGGACCTCGTCACTGGGAGTCAGGAGGAAACATCTCCGCCATACCAGCAGTAACACAGAGGCGGAGTTCGACGCCGCCTTAGACGCTGCAGTAGAAGCTGCTTACGACGAAGGATTCGAACCTATGGAATCATACGACACCGTCTACGACGATAACAATGATTCTGATACCGTTGATGTGTTGAGCAACGCGAGGCGCAAGGTAGAAATTGCTAAGGAAAGAGTCCGACAAACCGAACGCGAGGCGGCAATCGAGCTAGCCCGGGAACGGGAACGCCAAAGACAGATGTCAATAGATCAGAAATCTCAGGTCTTCAGCGGAGATTTCTTTGATGCTAACGATTCAGACGAAGAAGAACGTGTCTTAGAAGAGATGGCGAGGAGATCCGTGATGGAAGAATTTTCCCCTAAACATCGGTCCCAGCATTCACAATCTAGGATCCCTAGGGAATCTGATTCTAGCGGAACGACCTCTCGGACGTGGCATAGTTCGGTTGGCTCGAATCCTCCTACCTCCACAACTATATTATCAACAGTGACCGAGATGCCATTACCTGGAACTTCCTCCAAAGGTTCAGCGCCGTCATTGCCATCCCCACCACGATCGCTTGCGCAAGGCTCCCCGTCACAGATCTCCCCAACGTCTGGTGTGCGTAACCGCCGTCTCTCCGGGCAAAACCCTAAGCAGCTCAAGATTGAAACCTCTAAGCTCGGTCAACCGCCGTCTATCTCCACGTCTACGTTTCAGACAAAGACTGCGGGTGGTTTTATTGCTCAACAAAGACAGGCACTATCGGCGACAACAACGCGACCCGGACCTTTTTCCATGCGTGCACCCTCATCACCCGTTAGAGGCACTAGTCCAGCAGAGGTCACAGCTCCTCCAAGCCCACCGGCGAATTTAGCAGGTCCCCAAGATCTTGAGGAACATCGAACCGACTCACCGTCCTCTGTGCGGCCTGGTATACACAAGAATTTCTCGTCTTCCAGTCTAAAGTCTCTAAGGACTCGTCAATTTTCTGTGTCGCATATCGACGACTCGGACCTCTCGCCCAACACGCCTCTTAGCCACCAAATTTCGAACACATCGATATCTCGCCAGGCCATGATTCCCGCATTGCCTACACCGCTGGCAGCTGCCTTTCACGAGCGGATGGCGGGCGGTGTTGGTGGTCTACACCTTTTCGATTCCGATTTTCATTCTCCGACTTCCCATTCTCCTAACCAAGTTTACCATAGCCACCACCTTCCTCACAACCCTGACGTACCAATACCTCTAGAACCGTGCCCGTCTGATACCATGCTCCGGCCTTTCTGGCTCATGCGGGCCCTTTACCAGACCCTCGCCCACCCTCGGGGTGGATATATCAGCACTCGGTTATTTATTCCCCGGGATACGTGGAAAGTCAAGGGCGTTAAGCTGCGTGCTCTCGAAGATAAGATTGCGCAGTGTGACTTCCTAACCGCGGCACTTCTCAAGCTCGCAAGGGTAGACAGTAATGACGCAGATGCGGTACTCGAAGAGATGCAGAGTTTTGAGAATATTCTAGAGACGGTTCAGACGATACTTACGCGCAAGCTTGGTAACGAGGTGGGCACACAAGGCATGACGCCTCTCCGAGAGGACAGGGAAGCCGAGGCTGCGCCGCCAGTGCCACGTAGCTCAAGTGTTAGCGGAAAAGGGGGCGCATTTAGCTGGCGAAGGCTGAGAAACAAAGGCTCGGCTGCTAACATGACCAACGCATATGGAGGGAAGACTAACAGTAGTGGAAGCGGCGGGCCTGGCGTAAGCGAGAGAGATATTCCGAGCTCGATAGGATCGGGATCTATACCAAGTTTACCCTTGACAGCCCACCCAAGCAGTAGGCCTGCGAAGAGGGATCCCGCATCAGTCAATTTTGACGGACCGTACGGAAACTATATGGCGAGCTTAGCACGATTGTTTGACGCTGCGCAGACGGTTGGTACGTACTTATTCCAACAGCTCTGCATTTCCCTTCACGTATACTGAATACTGACGACTACCAGATCAAATTGCACGTCAAGTCGAGGACCCTGGCTTACGCCATGCAGATAAAACTCAAGTCGGGCTTGAGCTTTGCACCAGACACGCGGCTGAATTTTTCGGTTTTTATATCTGCCGGTTCGTACTGGCTGACCTGGCGATGCTGCTTGATAAATTTGTCAAGAGGGGCAGCGAATGGGTGCTTAACTAGAGATGCACACGATGCGGATAACTCCTGCTTATATTAGGAGTGGATTATGCTGGTTTCTATTGATACACTAGGGTAAACGTGTGATGAAGGGATGATGGTGCTAAAGAGCACCTACCGGAATGGTGTCACAATGAGATTCCCGGAATAAGTTTGGTGGTTATGACTAGCACTTGTTAGGAAGAGGAGGATTTCAGGGATTGCGGCCTGGTACTGGTCGATATTCGCGAGGAGTATTAACTATGAGTTCGGACCCGCGAACCAAATGACTGAGGAAGGGTTCATGTTGGCGACACCATATACGCGCCCAACTTTCTTTAACGTGTATTTCAAAGGCGCTGGATTATATCCCCTGGCTGGTCTTATGACTTGATGTAAGATACCATAGGTCATTTACTGTCTGATCTCCGCTTCAGTTCGCCGAGCGATGTATACATGGGCGACGGAGCACCTGTTAGGATTCTAGGTCGCGTCGAGTCGCGCCGTGTTATATAGAAGCGCGACGACGACCGTCTATAATTGAAAATTTTCATTCAGGAGGGCGCTGTAAATCGCGCCTCATTCATATTAAGTCATTAGTCTGGATTGGATTTTGTTGGAATATGTTTACAGCTATTGACAACGTATATCGACGGTATCTACAAGTGCTCCAGAGGTATTGCCATCATATTGCCATCATATTGCCATCATTACTTCTCCCCCCTATCCAGCTAAGTATACGTCACGCCGTAGCCACCTCCACAATCGTCTTATAAAACTGCGCCGGATCATGCGCAAACCGTCCCAAAAACAGCCCGTCCACTCCATCCTTCAGCTGCGCGAAAAGCCCCGGCCCAGCACTCCCCCCATACAGGATCCTCGTGCTTCCCTCACGACTCCGCACGCACTCCAGGCCCCGGATAGCCTGCGTAACAGCAACCACATGCTCCGCGCCCGCGGGCTCTACCGCCCCGATCGCCCAGACAGGCTCGTAGGCCAATACCACCTCCGCGGTAGTAGGGAGCGCGACAAGCACAGCTTCGACTTGCGTTCTACACTCGTCGACGGCGACTCTAACACCCGCTTCCCCGTCTGCCTTTGAGCGCTCCCCGATACAGATTAACGGAATTAAACCGTTCCGCGCCGCGGCAGCGGCTTTGCGCGCGGTGTCGGCGTCTGTCTCGCCGAAGATACGGCGGCGCTCGGCGTGGCCTAGTTCTACGATACGACAGCCTACTTCGGCGAGGACGGCGGGGGATATTTCCCCGGTGTAGGCGCCGGCGTCTTCGTGGAAGGCGTCTTGGGCACCGGGGAGGATAGGGATGGGGGGGCGGGAGTGTTGGAGTTGGGTGATGACGGAGGTGAGGGTTATGTGGTCGGGAATTATGAAGATGTCAATGTTGTTCAGGAGGTTTTGGTTTGTAGCGGGGGAGTTTGGAGGGGAAGAAAGGATTTGCAGTAGCTCGTCGACGTATTGCTTTGTCCGGGCGGCGGAAAAGTACATCTTTGTGGAGACGCCGACGATGCGGCGACTGGGAGGGAGTGTGGGTGTGGGTGTGGGTGAGATCATGGTTGGTGTGGTGTAATAATGTAATGTAATGTAATGTAATGTGACAAGTAACTATTTCAATTTGAGGCTAAATTGGAAGAGAAGCATTAGAGCAAACAGGATTACGGGTTACATGTAAAATTGTAGTTATGCAGTTGAGATGTCACTTGCGTTTGTTGTCGAGATTAGCGAGGCGGCTTTATAGTGTTGAATCTAGAAATCCGGTATGTGGGTTCGAGAGTTACTAAAGTCTTAGGCACATGTAGTACGAGATGTATCAATGTAGGTAATTCTACGTAGGTACCTGTCTGTCTTATGAGATCATATGTTGTACAGCTAAAGCATTAATTAACCCCAAGTTCCGAAAATAACATGTCACCGAGGATATGGTCCCCTTAACTTTGTTTGACAGCGTTTCGGCTCGGGTAGATGCAGTCTACCGCTAGCGTTCCGTCTATAACTATCTATTTAAGCTTTCGGGTATCAGGACCAATAAGTCACAGTCTCTTCAGACTATCTTATTTACCCGAGTCTGCGTTTGATACAACTACTGCACTTTAGTGACTTATATATAAGTATTAGGTTAGATTACTCTATCCCCCCTTTACAGTAGCAGGTAATAGAAATTACCGCATGGCATATTTCCCCTAGACGAATAGCGCGTTCTAGTTTACAGTGACTTCTCAAGGTCGCTGATAACTTCTACCTTGGCGGCGCTCGCGCTCTTCTCGTCAAATACATAACCCAACCATTCCTTAGCTAGTCTGCGCGCGAGCTCCAGGCCGATGACCCTCTCACCCATACAAAGAACTTGGGCATTGTTGCTTAGTACGGCTCGCTCTACAGAGAAGCTGTCGTGGGCTGTGACGGCGCGGACGCCCTTGATCTTGTTCGCCGAGATGGCAACTCCTAGACCTGTACCGCAGATGAGCAGGGCCCTGTCGACCTTGCCATCAGCTACGAGCTGCGCTGCGGCCGCTGCTCGGTGAGGGTATGCTGTCTTGTCATCTGTTGAGAGACTGCCGACGTCTACGATAGACTCAACGCGGGGGTCCTTTTCGAAGTCCTCCCTGATCTTGCTCTTGTAGCCGACACCGGCGTCCTGTGTAAGTAACGTTAGTATCGTGGTGAAATGTTACACATGAGCGGGTGAGTGAGTATAAGTGAAAAATATAAGAAAGACAAATAAGAGGAATCAAAGAGAAAATAAAGAAAAGAACTCACGTCGGCTCCGATGGCTATCTTCCACTTGGGTGCGGCGGCCATTGTCGTAGTTTCCTATCGTCTAGCGGGGGTATAAGAAAAATGTAAGTGATAGTCGGGCGTTGTTTTACTCCTGCAACTTGTGATACCCGGCAGGACTTAAGAAGTAAAGAATAGGGAGTGTGACTTCCGATTATTCGATACCGTCCCTTCTTATTACTCGGTACACTAGACCCCTACTGCCTTGCCGTAAGACGTCTTAGACAGTACCTCCCCTGGAAAGCTACATAAAACAAGCGCGTTCTTTCTGTTTGTCCTAATCACTCCTTCCCAACCGTTGTCTCAAGCAGAAGTTCCTCCCCCAAACCGGTCAGAGTGACCTTCCAAGTGACCCAAGTGGGGTCGCTGGAATATACCTAGGTAGTGTACCTGTGGTGTTAGTGGTATAAGTGTATAGGCAACTTCTCGGATTACTCTTTTGGGTAATCCGATGGCAAATATCTGAATTTACCCCTACGGTTCGCGGTTCGCATTTCTTTCTCGGCATAGTCATTCGTAATACACCCTTTTTCACCCCTCCTTCGGTAATCATGCGGACTACGAATTTTGTCAATACCGTCGATACCTGTTCCCCCTAGGTCCCTCTATGTCTCCCCTGTACTTGAGTTAGCCCCGTGGGGAGAGGGCCTGGACGCCTAAATGGAGCCCAGATGAACTTGAATGGGACCGTCATTTACGAAATTAGGAGCCTTGCTGCCAAGTAATTTCGGAGAAGGTCGTTTAAGCTATAGGCGATGCGGTATATCATCGTCAGCGAACACAGAAGCTAACATTATGGCTCGATGGATCGATGGGTCAAAACCTGTGGTGTTGCCTCTTACGGCAACCCTTTGCGTTCCCCATGTGTTCCCATACGTTCCAATACGTTCCACAATCCTGAATCTCCATAATCCTGATCTTTCGCGTAATAGAACCAGTCTTATTCGGAAACCCCTTTTCTGAGCTCGAGCCTCTGCTGCCTTTGTTCGACGTGATAGAAAGAGCCGCTCGCTCGCCGAGTTTTTCACGAGTAGACATTGTCCTGCAATCTCACTTCAGTCTCTCCTAACTCCCGTCTCATACCCATCCACCAACGCCGTGGAAATGTCAAAACGTCACTTATATCATTCCTCGGACGGGCTTGTCACCAAGTCTATTAGAGGTCTCATCTCCTACAACCCGTTACTCAGCCTGGATGAACCTAACCGAGTGGTATTCGACACGGCATACAATAAGTCCAATGTCTCCATAGTCAGTGGTGGTGGTTCCGGTCACGAACCTGCTTGGTCCGGTTATGTTGGCCAAAACTTGCTCGCTGCCTCCGTGGCCGGCGACATCTTTGCTTCTCCCAGCACGAAGCAGATTATTTCCGCCATCGACAGAGTACCTTCGGAAAAAGGTACTATCTTAGTTATTACTAATTACACCGGCGACTGCCTGCACTTCGGGTTGGCAAACGAGAAAGCTATTGCCAAAGGCCACAAGTGCAGAATGATCATCTGTGGAGACGACGTGTCCGTCGGAAGGAAAGGTAGCCTGGTCGGCCGGCGAGGTCTAGCCGGACAGTTAGGTGTTCTCAAAGTCCTGGGCGGTGCTGCTGGTGCCGGCGGCTCTCTCGACCAGGTGTACGATCTCGGCATTGCGTTCTCGCAGCAGATCGTTTCCATCGCAGCCACACTCGATCACTGCCACGTTCCCGGACGAGCAGAGTTCGCGATGCTGGGAGATGACCAAGTGGAAATCGGTACTGGGCCTCACAATGAACCCGGCTATCGGAAGCTCTCACCTGCACCGTCGGCGGAGGAACTCGTTAAGGTGCTATTAAAGTACTGCTTAGATGAGACGGACCCCGAGCGGGGCTACGTAAAGTTTAAGCCAGGGGACGAGGCCATTCTTCTCATTAGCAACTTCGGAGGCATGTCGTATCTCGAGATGGGAGCGCTGCTAGACGATTTGCTTGAACAGTTGGCGAACAATTGGAATATTGTGCCGGTGAGGATAAGCAACGGCTTCCTCGAGACGTCTCTGAACGCGCCGGCATTCTCGATTTCCATCGTCAACGCGACGGCCGCCGCCGAGAACTGCTCATACTCAGTCGAGGAAATCAAGTCTTTTTTCGACGCTAAGACTAACACATACTGGGAATCCATGACCGGTTCCCAAGCGATACGGCGTAGCAGAAAAGAGCAGTTCGTGCAGCCACCTCCTGAGCCTCACAAGGTGATTGAGGAGGGAAAGGACCTGAAAATCGACCCTGCTCTACTGGATAGGATGCTTCGTAGCGCTTGCAACGAATTAATAGTCGCGGAGCCCGATCTGACCAAGTGGGACACGATCATGGGCGATGGCGACTGCGGTGAGACGTTAAAGACGGGTGCAAGCCATCTCATCGCCGCGCTCGACAAGAAGCTCGCAGCCGAGGGCTCTGTGATCGCAGTGCTCCAGGAACTCGAAGAGATTGTCGAAGGCAAGATGGGCGGTACTCTGGGCGGTATCCTAGGTATCTTCTTCGTCTCGTTGAGGACGGCTCTCCAGGAGAACGTTGCCTTAGCTAAGACCGAAGGGCTTTCGAAGCTATGGGCCAAGGCCGTCCAGACAGCTTTGGACAACCTGAGCCGGTACACACCGGCTAAGGTTGGCGACCGGACGGTCATGGACACCCTGCTCCCGTTCGCGGAGGGTCTGCGCTCGGGGGATCTCGCGGGTGGTGTCGAGGGTGCGATTAAGGGTGCCGAACTGACCAAGACGTTGGCTCCGAAACTCGGCAGAGCGACTTACGTCGGCGCGGATAGCAGCAAGGAGCTGCCCCCGGACCCTGGTGCTTGGGGTGCCATGGTTGCTATAAAGGGCTTGCAGTCGGGTATATAAGTGTATACTGGCCATGGTATACCTATACCTGAGTATTTAAAGTGTATATTTTATCGTCAGCATGTCATGTACCTACATAAGCTAGCGAGTACCTTTTATTTTTGAGTATATATGAGAGATAGTAATTTTATACATTGTTAAAGCATTAAAGCATGAAATGAGGCATTATGAAGTTTGGTGGTCAGATTTTTATTTTGACCTGCTTGCCTGCTTGTCTGCTTGCCTGCTTGCTTACTGCGGATGATAAGACAAGAAACTCGCTTAAGCATTAACAAGATGTATCCCTGTCTATAGAAACCCGATATAATGTTTGTTCAATACTCTAAACTCTCTCCCTTACGCCTCTTCACGCCTCGTTACGCCTTGCCGGCGCTACCGAGCCAATGCATATACTGTTCGATAGCAGCCTGCATCCTGTCGGTACCCGCCTCGATGACGCTGGTGAGGGGCTTCCCCTGCATCTCCTCCTGCACGGCGGCGTAGTGTTTGTTCATACCCTTATTGATGTTGACCTTAGACACGCCCGCCTTGATACATCGCTTAAAGATGTCCTCGGTAAAGGGATCCGCGCCGTGTAGGACTAATCGCACACGGTCGCCTACTGCCTTGTTGATCGATTCTAATCGCTCGTACTCTAGCTGAATCCCCCGTGGCCCGTACTCCCCATGCACGTTGCCGAAGGCCGGCGCCAGCATCTCGATACCTGTGGCCACAAACTCTTCTGCCTGTTCGGGAGTTGTTAGAATGGCTTCTAGATCGGCAGTTTCCGCCACGCCGTCTTCTCCACCCTCGATCCGGCCGGGCTCGGCTTCGGTGGTAATCCCGCGCTCGTGGCAGTACACGGATAATTCCCGAGTCAGCGCTAGGTTCTCATCTTTCTCATAGTGGCTCATATCGCACATGATGCTGTCGAAGCCATCTTCGATATCTGCGGCCCGACGCACTAGCTCCGGTGTCTGCGCGTGGTCCAAGTGTAGGCTGACGGGCACTTTGGCGTTATGCGCGGCATCGGCAGCGGCGCGCACGAGAGATGCGCCGGCGTATTCGATGGCCCAGGGGAAGAGGAGTACCATGGCTGGGGATCGGGCTGCTTCGGCGGCGCGGACGGTGGCGATTATTGATTCGATGTTGTAGCAGCACATCCCTGGCACGGCGTATCCGCCATCGCGGGCTTTGTTGAGGATTGTTAGGGAGCGGTTTTTGGAGAGTTCTGGGCGGACCATTTTGATTGTTGTCTTGGTTGGAGCTAGAGTTGATTTAAACTTGATGAATGTGTAAGTGGTTTGCTTTCTTTACTACTATTTAGTTTCTAGTAGGGACACAAACGCGGAGTTGAATTAGTTAGGTAGTATGTGAACCATATAAGTGACTGACTACCTGTTATAGTATACAATGGAGCGAACAAGCATGCTAGGTAGTATATTATTATTTTATTAGTCTTAGTCTCTACCTAAGCACCTATGACCACACACGGAATTATACCGTCGCGAGCCACCGCACACCGGCATCTCTCCATCTCCAAGAATGAAACAAGAGGCGTGCAGCCGTAATTAGTGGAGAAACAGACGTGGGGTCGCTTACTCTTTGACTCGCTCTTAGTGGTGATAAAACCTGCAACTTAACAACTTTGCCATTTTACCGAGGGAGGCGGCTCAGAGGATCAGGGCTATTCGCCGGTATAGTTATCAACCGAGCCATCTCGGGGTAACTATGGTGTGTGTAGTTGAATGTATGTAGGTAGACTTTATACATGCTTGTCTTGTTTCTATTAGTGGGCTAATAGGCGGGCGGAGAAAGGGGGCTAGGGTGAAATACATAATAGTAAAGGCTGAAGTGACGCTCCCCGCCTCCATTCCCGGTAAAGATGGGGGGAAGGGGGGAAGGGGGGAAAGGGGGGGAGGCACCTATACACTTCAGCCGCTACTAGGTCCTATATGGATGGTACTTAGTCCGACTTGATTAGTCGTCTTCAAATTACCGGCTGCGTAGAAGACGGTAGGCTAAGCTTTTTTTTTTTTGCTTTTTCTTTCATCTACGTACGTTACTTGTATACTCGTTTCTTATACGGAGTCTACGACAAGCGGATAGATAATATTCTCAGTTTTTTTTGTTTTTTTTTTGAGTAGTGTTTGAGTTGTAGACATGGCGAATGTAAAGCCAGAGGTCTCGTTCATCGGCCTGGGAGCCATGGGCTTCGGCATGGCGACCAACTTGGTTAAGCAGGGGTATAAGGTGACAGGGTTTGACGTCTGGCAGCCGACGTTAGATAGGTTCCAGGCTGCTGGAGGCAGTACCGCTACGACGCCGGCGGAGGCTGTTAAGGGTAAGGACTACTGCGTGTGCATGGTAGCGACGGCGCAGCAGGCTCAGGCCGTCCTCATCGAAGGTGACAATGCGGCACTCGCCTCGTTACCTAAAGGGGCCGCTCTGCTACTCTGCTCGACGGTGCCGTGCGCATACGTCCAGGCTCTAGAGAAGCAACTTATCGAATTGGGACGGGGTGATATTCGTCTAATCGACGCTCCCGTCTCGGGAGGCGCTGCAAGGGCTGCCGACGGTACTCTTTCAATTATGGCCGGAGGCTCGGATGAGGCAATCGAGACAGGCCGCTTTCTGTTACAGGAGATGTCCGATCCGAAGAAGCTCTACATCGTCCAGGGCGGAGTCGGCGCCGGAAGTAATATGAAAATGTGCCACCAGGTCCTTGCAGCCAACCAAATCCTCGCCGCAAGTGAAGGATTGGGGTTTGCGAGTCACCTCGGCCTGGATCTCCACTCCACGAGCCAAGAGATTATCAAGTCGGACGCATGGGCTTGGATGTTTGAAAATAGACTCCCGAGGATGCTCGATCCCGAGTTCAAGCCCGTTGCTAGCGCCCTGACTATCATCCTGAAAGACACGGGTATTATTACCTCAGAGGCAAGACGTGCCGCATTTCCTACACCCATGACAAGCACAGCAGAACAAGTCTACTTCTCCGGCCTCGGTCGCGGATACGGCCCAGACGACGACAGCAGTCTAATCAGACTGTACACAGAAGGCAAAGGGAAGATAGGACCGGTAAAGGGGCTAGCTGAAAACGACGAGTCGAAGCTAGCCCTCGTCAAGGCGCTATTTAGAGGAATCTACCTCTGCTCTGCCGCGGAGACCATTGCCTTTGCAAAGAGATGTAATCTAGATCTAGACCAAGTCTTCGAGCTCTGCATAAACGCAGCCGGAGGAAGCGCGATACTACAGACGGTTGGACCGGAGATCATCAAGCTTGCTCGAGGAGAACAGGTATCGGTTGGGGATAGCGAGGGGCTAAGGGAACATGCGCAGCAGCTCCAGGAGGCTGTTGAGGAGGCGCAGCGGTTAAAGGTGCCGGTGTATCTCGGTAGTCAGGCGCTTACCCTGACGCGGTTCGCGTTGCACTTTTCTTCCGAAGCAGCTCTAGATATCTCGAGAGCTGCTGTTGCGAAAGCATGGGGTTTATGAGATCGATGTCTGTACTTGGTAGTATATGCTAGGAGACGCAATGTGGGCTGTAAGTAGCTATATAGGCATGTATATAAAATACACTTCATAAGGAGACTGCCTAGAATAATATAATATGAGAGGGTGGAATATATAGACTTACACTCAGATAAAATTATATGAGTTTATTAAGTTATTCCATGTCTGCTGACAATATATCGAACCCGGACGATGAAGATACCTCGGGAATCATGTAATATGATTTTAACTATGGTCAAATATAGACCTGTGGTATTAGTTTCCCGCCAACCCTGATGAGCCTATGCCAAAAAGAACGCCATGTACCTGATTCATTTTTTCAATTACCTTTTCGTTAACTCCCCTATTCATCTATTTCCCCTAGTAACCACTCTGCTCCTGCCTATGATCCTCTTTCGCAGCCTCGCCCGCCTCCTTGATGGCTTCCTCGTCGCCTCTAAGCTTAGCAAAGTACTCCTTGATATCTTCGGCACCGATTGCTTTGCCACTCTCGGCGAACTGCTGGAAGAAGGGCTTGAGACGTTCCTTCAAATGGTTGTACGCCATGACGCCCTCGATCGCCCGGACGCGATCTACGTTCTTGAGAGCAGACTCACCGCGGTCGTACAGTGAGCCGCTGCCGAGAGTCGAACCTTGCTCGGATGCTCCGTCCGAAAGAGGCGGCTCGTAGGCTTCTTCCTCTTCTAGAAGTTGCGGGTGAGCCTTGAGATCTGGGAAGCACGAGGCGCATTTGCAAAATTGGTCGCGGAAATTCGAAGTAGTAAACAACGAGAACTGGCCACTTGGTGCAGAAGGTAGAGATGCTAACTTGCATTCTGTAGCAGATGGAACTTCGTTTTCCTTCTGATCCTCGTCTTTCTTCTCATCCTCATCCTCATCCTTGACTTGTGAGGAACTCTCATCTGATTTGGTTGTGGGTGTGATATCCTGTGCCTCTTCAGACTCATTCTTAACGCGCTTGCTACGGTCGCTATCCTCTTCTGAACCATCATCATCTTCTAGCTTACGTTTCTTAGAGGATGTCTCACTATCCTTTTGAAGAAATACTGCTGGTAAGAATCCGGGGGTTCCAGCATATCTCTTAATCCAAGGATAAGCTTCGACGCATTTATAGCATATGAGATTGTCGAACGCATCTTCGGTAGGGAAGCCGTCCGGCAGAGCGGGGTCTTCATCCTCCTCCTCCTGCGCTTCCTGGTTGCCATTGGCTTGTTGTTCCGTGCCATTCTCCTGAGTCGCATCTTCGGAAATAGTGGGAAGTGTGTTATTACCATTACTATTGGCGCCATTGGCGTTGGGCCTGGGAACGTGTGCTTTCTGCTTTTCGTACCAATTGGGTCCAAGGCCGACGAGACAGCCAGGATGATACCAATCTTCGCCGCAACCACCAGTCTCATGCGTGCCGAGACCTAGGCATTGATACATGGTACCCACCTGTTTGTTAGGGTCGTAATATATAGAACAGGAGCAAAAGCGATTGCGGAAGTTGTGATTATATTTATTGTTGGGACCCGGCTGTTCGGAGTGAACGCCTCCTTTTGTGTTGGTCTCGGGATTGATTCGAAGGGTGCACTGCTGTTCGGGGGTGAATCGCGTAGTACCGCAGTCGCAAGTGAAATTGCGCTTCTGGAAGATCTCAACTAATTCATGTTCACCATGGCATTGGACAGAACATGAATAGCACACGCCGGCAGGATTATAGGGATCGGATGGATTCGTAGGAGGTGGAGTGCAAGTTAGACAGGCGAATACATTCTGTCGCAATGGTCCAAGTGGCTTGGTGCAGTTCTCGATGCTCTAGAGATAACAATTAATTAATTAGTAAATTGTTGAATGGTTCGTCCAGGTAATATCAGCAACTTACATAGGGAAGAGCTTCGCGAGCATCGGCTTCCAGCTGCAGTTGATCTCTAATAAAGTCGGCGGCAGTTTGAGAGTCGTCAGACTGTTGCGACATGCTCTGGGTGCGCGGGCGTGAAGAGCTGCCGTTAGTTTCGGGCGCCTCCTGGGAGGTAGCCGGAGCCGATGATGGATCCATTATAATGACAAGAATGATTTGCAAAAATGGGGGAATGAGAAGAAGAGCTTAAATAATAAAATGGTATTTGTAGACGTGTCGGCGCGCTGGAAGAGCTGTTGTGAATAATGGGGGGATACAAATAGAATAGTTAGAACCAACTTAGATAGAGCGGCGCCTTAGTTTATCATAGGAGCGCGCCGCAAATATGATGTCACAGTGGGCGCTTCTCCAGAGCGATACCAATTCGCACTATACAATCAAGTACACCTTATGTGGGACTGCACGGTGTGCATGCGAACAGGGAATAGAGAACTCTAAGTCCCAAGTACCTGCTATGTATTTTATAGTGTGTACTTAAAACCTAAAGGTGTGTGTTTAGTGCCACTTTACGCGAGCTCGACGCGTATGGACGCGACTTCCAATTTGTTTCGTCGCGCCCACCCCACAATTCACTTTAGTCCCCTTTCTCTTCATTTTCCTTCTTGGGTTCCACTCTCACTCTCACTGTCCCTCTTGTTCTCATTCTAGTTTCTCTCCGAATTACCAACTATTTCCTCCAAGTGCTCTCTGACAGAGAGTAATAAAAAAAAAATACACAATGAGGTGAGTTCATTCCATACCAGGGTATATAACTTATAGCATTAAATTTTCCTAACCTGCTTCCAGTTCCCCTCTACGAATGAATATGGACTCCGCAAACCGCGGTACCGCCCCTCGTGCGAACCGCAAACGTTCCCGCACGGGCGGTGATGCTTCCTCTTCCGTTGCTGCCTCTAGTCCCATGCCCTCTTCTCCCCCCGCCTTCAACATTGCCCACGGCGGTGACGACGATGATGACATTGAGGAGGAGGCTGAGGTGCAAGATGATTTGGACGACCTTGACGAGATGGCCGAAGACGATGTAGACCTCTTCCGTGAAGGTTTCGAGCGAGATTACAGAGAGAAAGATGACAATGATGCCTACGAAGGAATCGATATTGATGATGACGGCGAATTTGACGATATAAACCTCGGTGAGAGGAGAAGATTAGAAGCTCAGCTAAACCGTCGAGACCGAGAAGTAGCTCGTAGACGGCACGGGCCCCAGGCTTTTCTCCAGGATGAGGATGAGGATGGCGATATTGATCTAACTGCCCAACCCCGTCGCCGCCGTCATCATTACGACGAAGATCCAGACGAAGAAATGGACCAGGATATTATGGACGAAGAACTCTCCCTTGAGGCCCTGCAAGATGTCAAAGCTGCTAGTTTGACCGAATGGGTGTCTCAGCCGTCAGTGCAACGCACTATCAAGCGAGAATTCAAGGCCTTCTTAACAGAATATACCGACGAGAGCGGTTCCTCGGTCTATGGTAATCGTATTCGAACCCTTGGTGAAATCAACGCCGAGTCGCTCGAGGTGTCATACGACCATCTATCCTCGTCCAAGGCCATCCTCGCATACTTTCTCGCCAACGCTCCCACCGAAATGCTTAAGCTTTTCGACGACGTAGCCATGGATGTCGTTCTCCTCCATTACCCCGACTATCAGCGCATCCACTCTGATATCCACGTTCGCATCTTCGACCTGCCCGTTCACTATACTCTTCGCCAGCTGAGACAGTCGCATCTCAACTGCCTCGTGAGAGTGAGCGGTGTTGTTACTCGACGAACTGGTGTTTTCCCCCAGCTAAAATATGTCAAAGTCGACTGCACTAAATGCGGCGTGACACTGGGCCCCTTCCAGCAGGAGTCTAACGTTGAAGTCAAAATTTCATTCTGTCAGAACTGCCAGTCTCGCGGCCCCTTCACCTTGAATTCGGAAAAGACTGTTTACCGTAACTACCAGAAGTTGACACTCCAGGAATCGCCTGGAACCGTACCTGCTGGCCGTCTACCTAGACATAGAGAAGTCATCCTGCTCTGGGATCTGATTGACAAGGCGAAGCCTGGGGAGGAGATTGAGGTCACCGGTGTCTACAGGAACAACTATGATGCCCAGTTAAATAATCGTAATGGGTTCCCTGTTTTTGCTACAATTCTCGAGGCAAACAATGTTGTCAAAGCGCACGATCAACTTGCTGGGTTCAGACTTACCGAAGAGGACGAGCACGAAATCCGCAAACTTTCTCGGGATCCCCAGGTCATCGATAAGATAATCAACTCGATAGCACCTAGCATCTACGGGCACACCGATATCAAGACTGCTATTGCCTTGTCTCTTTTCGGTGGCGTCGCAAAGATAGCCAGGGGTGAACATCATGTGCGAGGAGATATTAATGTTCTCTTGCTTGGTGATCCGGGTACAGCCAAGTCTCAGGTCCTGAAGTACGTAGAGAAAACCGCGCACCGAGCTGTTTTTGCCACTGGTCAGGGAGCTTCTGCTGTTGGTCTTACGGCTAGTGTCCGTCGAGACCCTTTAACTAGTGAATGGACATTGGAAGGTGGTGCTTTGGTGCTTGCTGACAAGGGCACATGTCTCATTGACGAGTTCGACAAGATGAATGATCAAGATCGAACATCTATCCACGAGGCTATGGAACAGCAAACCATCTCCATTTCGAAGGCGGGTATTGTTACTACCCTACAAGCTCGATGTGGTATCATTGCGGCAGCTAATCCGATCGGTGGCCGTTACAACTCTACAATCCCTTTTTCGTCCAATGTCGAACTGACTGAACCTATCCTGTCGCGTTTTGACATTCTTTGCGTCGTACGAGATACTGTGGACCCTGCTGAAGACGAGCGTCTGGCTCGATTCATTGTTGGCTCCCATAGCCGGAGCCATCCGTCTACCCAAGCTGCTGATGGTTCTATGGAGGTTGAGCACGACTCCGAGGCGGCACAAGAGAGCCAAGCGCAACAAAAGAAAGAAGGCCAAATCCCCCAGGAGCTACTACGAAAGTATATTCTATATGCACGAGAGCACTGCCAACCGAAGCTTCTGCATATGGATGAAGACAAGGTTGCGCGACTCTTTGCAGATATGCGACGAGAGTCGCTAGCTACCGGAGCATATCCAATCACTGTAAGTTGCTCCGCTTGATGCATTTGGATGACAGCACTAACTTAACTTTCAGGTCCGTCACTTGGAAGCTATCATCCGAATCTCGGAGTCTTTTTGCCGAATGAGATTATCAGAGTATTGTTCTGCCCAGGACATTGACCGTGCCATTGCTGTCACTGTTGATAGTTTCATTGGTAGCCAAAAGGTCAGCTGCAAGAAGGCGCTCGCGCGCGCTTTTGCCAAATACACGTTAGCAAGGCCAGGTGCAAATGGCGCACGGAGAGGCGCGCAAACTCAGCGTAGGACTACTGTAGCGGCTTAGACTAAGGGAGGTTTTTTATCGTACACGAGGTGACTTAATGTTGGAAGGTTATGAATTTACGTGGTGTCAAGAGCACGGTACTCAAATTCGGCGTTAAGCATGGTTGATGATGATGATGATGATGTTGATACGGATGTGGTAATACGACTTGTGGGATTTAAAGTGTTGTCTTTACTCCGATACGGATTGCCAATTAGGAGTCTATTAGAGTTGTTGCGTTCCTCTGCACAAGCCATTTCTTAGTATAGAGGGTAGCTTAGAGTTAGGAAACTAAGAACAAGGAACTGTAATGTTTTGTTAGTATAAGATGAACTTTTGTGAAGTAGACTTTTAGTCCGCTTCAACTTACACCAACCTAATGTATCGAACCAAGTGTTTTGCTAAATCCGAAACTCTGTCCAAGTAATCATATAGTAACTCGCATCATTTATAATCATACCTAATAGTTTCGAAGATGTTGATGCTTGAACGGATAACCTTTCAACTCTTAAATATTTTTCACTATTCCCCCTATTCTTATGTATCTCGGACTAACCCTTCCTTTACCCTCACATTGCTTCTTAAACACTGTATCTCAACCAATCGCAGCCCAGGTAGATATCTAAGCTTAATGCTTAAGCTTCCCCTTAGACATTAAACTAATGTTGGTACAAGCTGCCAAAAATACCTGAAAGTTTCGATATAAGTTCCGTGCCTGCTTCCAAGCTTTCTATAGTACAACTTTTATAAGGGGGCGTCAGTGATAGCAGCACGTCAAACCGCGCTTGACATGTTTATACTCCTGTTATCTAAAGTTTCTGTATCCCGGACTCCGTTCTCGGATATATGTCTTTGATAATTACCATTTTGCCTTTTGAGCTCAGGCACGGAGATATGTTTTGTAAATCTATATAATCCTGTCTATCCTCTGCCTGTTTCTTCCTGGATTCTTGGAATGAGAGTAATCCTCAGTTCATACGCACGCGACTATAAGTTCTAGACTATAAGTTCTACTCTAATAGCATAGCTACTAACATCTAGATCGTCTTGCAATCATCCTCTAACGAAGGCTCAGATTTTGCTATACAAAATCAGGTCTAACGATATCCTTACCTCTCAATCATACCTACCTTAGGTACCTAACACGTTTTATCTTACTCTTTATTCTTCATCATGGATCTCACTAGCTCGGCCGACACGTCGCTCAAGAAGGTCATCACGACCCGCCAGTTCGTCTTGATGGCCCTCAGCAGCTCCATCGGTGCCGGCGTGCTCCTCGCCACCTACTCCAGTCTGGCAGTAGGAGGCTCCGCATCACTCCTCATATCTTTCATCGTAGTCGGATTTGCCGTGTGGATCACCATGTGCGCTCTCGGCGAGCTTTCGGCTGCATTCCCAGTTAGTGGCTCATTCTACGAATATTCGGTGCGCTTCATCTCGCCAGCCTGGGGCTTCGCCATGGGATGGAACTACGTCATCAACTTCATCTTCATCGTCGTCTTCGAGCTGGTAGTCATGCTGCTTTGCACGCGGTATTGGGAACCGGACTTGCCAGCATACTACGTCCTTCCGGGGTTCATAAGCGGGCTCGTCCTTGTGAACGCGTTTGGCGCAAAGTGGTATGCCGAAGCAGAGAACGTATTCGCGGTCTGCAAGATGATCGTTCTCACGGCTTTTACCATTGTCGCCGCCTTTATCGCCACCAAAAACATTCCGGCTGATACCCGGCCCGCCGAGGAGCTCGGGGTTAACTTATGGATGCAAAATGCATTCAGGAATGGCCCTATCGGATTTCTCTATGTCTTTATGACTGCCGGGATGGCATATGGAGGAACCGAGATGCTTGGTCTGACCGCCGCCGAGTGCGAAAAGCCCCAGAAAGTTATGCCTCTCGCTTGTAATATTGTACCACTACGAATTATTTGGCTATACCTGGTTCCCATCTTGATGCTCGGCATGGTACTTAAGGTATCCCTTGACGGCGAAGTTCAATCTGGTGGGATCAGTCCTTTGGTTGCTGCAATGGATCAAGCCAACCTCCCAATAATTGGTAGCATCTTCAACGGCATCATCATCATCGCCATCTTTTCGATGGCGAGCGCCAGCGTTTTTGCCTCGTCGCGAGCTCTTCAAGCCATGTCGGCAAGAGGGATGGGGCCACGCCTCTTCGCAAAGATAAAACGGGGTTACCCAATCTGGGCGCTGGCATTGGTATTCTCGATTTCGCTCCTGTCGTTCATCAAAATATCCAAAGACGGTGACATAGTGTTTAACTGGCTCTTGGCTCTGGCTTCTGGCTCAAACTACTTTACCTGGATTTCCATCTGCGTATGCCACATCCGGCTGCGGCTTGCTATACGTAGGAAGGGGCTGGAGAATCGAGATGTACTGAAGTGGCAGTCCCCACCTGGAATCGGCGGAAGCATGATAGCGATTGTAATATTCGTCTTTGGTCTCGCAGCTCAGATTATCGCGGCGGTGCAGAGTCCGCTTCCAAACCCCCCTCATGTTCTCTCAAGCTTTCTAGGAATTATTGTTGTTTTCGTATTCTGGGCAGGATATATGGTACTCGGGAACAGTGTGCTTTTGACTCCCCTCGATCAAATCGACCTTCAGGCAAAGGCGACGGAGCCGGTTGAGAATGGCGAGAGCGTCTAAATCAGAAACGGAATGTCGCAGAATTATTCATAATATATATTAATATAGATAGAGAGAATGGTAGTAATTATTATTTATGTACCTGTCTGTGTTTACTGTGATGCTTCGTCTCTCATGAAAAAAGTAGATGGATGTTATGAGATGAGAGGTTGTAGATATTCATCATGTACCCATGTAATTGAAGTACATGTCGCTAATTGGATTGAAAGACCTTGGGTACATGTGGTTACGCGTGGGTAACATGCCCAGGTACATGAGTAACACAGCGCTAGAGCTGATAGTAACCTAAAAAGTAATCGATAAGCAGCAACGCCTAACCATATCTAGACTCATTTAGTGCGCAAACGACGACCTACTGCACTTAGCGGATACACACCCACTATCCACTAACTTAAGGTATTGCTAGCTTAAGCCTTAAGCTTTAGGTTGCGTAGGAGCTCCGCCTTTGTCCCCTTCCCTTTCCAATCATGAACTTCCCTCCTCAACCTTCACATCTTCTCGAAAACTCCCAACAACAAAACCCCGGCCCCCAAAACCGACAGCTACCACAACAGCAACCTGTTTACTTGACCAACAGCCCCGGTACCATGCAGGGTAACGGCTCTGGCGCCGGTCCTGGCGTAATGTCGATTGGGCCCACGCCCGCTGGCCATCAGGCCGAACTTAATATTATCTATGGCATGGTCGAGGAGCTGTCGCGTCAGCTGGCTGAGAACAGACGAGTGACCGAAGATATTGTCTCAGGACTTGGGAGGGTGCGAAATCGGGCGCGGGATCGTGGTTTAACAAATGACCAGGTGCTTGGAGAAGCGGCAGATGAAATATTTGGTACGTTCTAATATGTCTTTAGTTGCCCAATCGCTAATCATGCCAGTACAGCGCAAGAACCGAATTTAGAGGCTCTCGTGTCTATCTTAACAGAGTCCCTCGACCGCGCTAAGCTCTCCCGTGACGCCAACTTCTCTCTTCTTACCAGCTACGCCCGAGTTCTCGCCAATATACTCTCCCAATTCCACGCGTACAAGCAAAAGCACGTCGCCGACGTATCTGCCTGGCACCGTTCCTACCGAGCACAGCTGGCCGAAGCCCGCGCCGAGAATTCGCGCCTACGTGAGCAGATGTGGGAGATGCAGGAGCACGCCGGCCGCGCTAACCAGATGCTGCGCGAGTTCCGTAAGAAATACGATGAGAACGAGGAGCGGTGGGAGAAACGTGTAGACGACAAGGCTAGGAGACAGGAGATCCGCTTCTGGAAACGTATGGCCATGCCCGAGGTTGCCGAGTCCGAGGAGGGATACTGGAGCGATGACGACGACTTAGTAGACCCCGTCGAGAAAGAAAGGTTGAAGGAGGTAGAGCGCAAAGTTGCCGAACAGGCCCTTGCTGGCGTTGGTAGTACCAGCAGCCAAGGGGAGGATTCAGAAGGAGAAGGAAGCGAGCCGCGAGCCCTGTCAGCAAGCATGATTGGGGGCGTGGCCATGGATAGAGAGGGGAGTGATATTGCTAGGATCATACCGGTACCGCCTCCGAGACCAGCGAGTACAGGGAGTACGGGGAGTATAGGACAACTGCCTAGCTAGGAGGTTGAGCCGACTTTGCCTAACACTTAATATGCATTAATATGGCGTTGAGGCTGATTCGATTGAAGAATAATACCCCGAAGGAGAACGATTCGAGCTAGCTAGATTACTTATGCTACCTATCCCGAAGACTGAAGTTAATATGATGTCTTGCTAGTCGCTAGGCTATCTGCTCCTTTATCTTCATGTTGTGCGCTTGTATACTAGATTATATCAAGGCATGTTTATAGCATTAGCCGTCCCGAGGGAACAAACTCCTTAATGCAAATTATCTTCCCTAAGATGTTCTCTAGGCGATCAAATTCGAAGCACGGTGTTACTTTGACGTGGTAGCTCACCGCTAATATTAATATATGCGTATAAATCCGAGATAATAAGGGCGTGTTGAAGGTGTCCTGAAATTAAGGATAATATGGCTAATAGCTAAAATGTGATTTTCTTATACTCCCCTAAATGATACTTGATAGAGGACACGAGCTATGGAACGGCATTGCAGTTATCGTGAACCAAGTCGTTGCCTAACATGCGGCACCGCCAACCTGCCAGTCACCAACTGATCAATCTCTTAGGCAATGAGGTACAGCTGTCAAAGTACCTACCCACGAAGTAAAGGATATATATCTAAATTGCAAACTGAACAATCAGCCGACGCCCCCCGCCCGGGCGACTTGAGGTCAGAGAAAACCCCACTGTGGTGTCTTATGCTGGACCGTTCTTACGAATGTGACTTGACAGCAGATACCAAACGAAGCCGGTTTTTCGTAGGTCTTGGGTTCGAATCCCCTGCCCCTATCCGAGGGGATTCGAACCTGGGGCTGAGCTTTTTTATTTTTGCAATTTTTTTTTGCGTCCGCTTTTTCTTCCTTTTTTGTTTCCTTTTTTCCTTTTTTTTCTTCTTTTCTTTTCTTTCCTTCGCACTTACATAAATAACCCTCATCATATGCGGCTCGTATGCGTGAACGATGCGGTCGATCTAACATGACAATTGCCTAGGTTAATAATAGCTATTTTGGTTATTGCACAAAAAGTATTTAAGGGTATTTATCTATTATTTTACACCTTTCCACATAGTAGATGGTAGAACACAAGTTAGGATAGCCCTTTACGGAGAGGGTGGCTTAGTAGTCTTCAGTCACACATTTCTTACGTGCTTGAGCTATGTAAGTCATCAAATAGTATTATTAATATCAAGATTCCTTAATAACCGAGATGTCAAGGTCGACTATCGAGGCAACTTTCTAAACTAAGGCTCAGCTATATTATACTCGACGTTGTGCTAGAGAACTGAGGATCTGAAGTTTATATATAAATTAGCTGTAGCCCCTGTAACATACCCTTGTACTTCCCATCAGTCGCTTCTATTAATAACTATCCCCCGTAGGGCTGCATGGATACTTATGATGCCCATTTCAACAATGGGGAGAGCTAGTCCTAATTTGACCTTACTTTTTCATAAGCGAAAGCAAAGAGTCTTGTATATAGACGGCATTTCGTTGAGGATCGGTTTGTATAGTCGTATACTGAAACCAGCTGAGCTAAATAAATAAAGATGTTATGATTTGTACTGATGCAATGAGGCTATGCTCCTGTCTAAATCCTTCTGAGGCTGAAGGCACCAGACGAGCGTGCGGAATGAATATGGTGAGTTAAGACTATAGCATTACTTATGGCCTTGTTGGTCGCATACTAATTGTTGCGTATAGGGCCGGTTACACTTTGACATTTTTCTCTTTGCCTCGGCTTTGATACATATCGGTAGCATCATTGGCTTTTTTACTGGGATGGGAAATTTGGGCTACATTGTATTTTGGTATGGGATGTGGCTTCTGATTACTGCTGTTGCTTGGATTTCCACTTGGGCTCCTGAACAGCCCAGCAGCCATGTCCAAGTTTAAGGCCTTATATGTACGACAGCGCTTGTTAAAATATGAGTGATAGAAAATAGAGGAGCGAAGGATTCGGAATTGTCAGCCAATGAAATGGAGTTGCTGTTGTGGAGTGTACGATGACAAAAAGAACTTGGTCAGTCTGGTATAAGTAAATTAAGCAGCCAAGTCGTGATCCTTAAAACCAATATAATAATCCAACTCATCCAAACCGCTATGAACCTCTAGGATGGAATAGTTGACTACTATCTATCTGCGATACTATAACCCATAGTACGCAAACGAGAGGCACGTATTAAATGAGTTGATAATTCCCTGCAATGTCTGTGCCCCCGGGTGGTTGGGTCTGTAACTGCTGGGCTGCGACCCTTCGTGTTATCAGCCAATCCGAAGCGCCTTTCCGACCCCAATCTCCTTCTTCCTTGCAGCATCTACCCCGGAGCATGTCGCTTAGCGATGTACTCACTTTCGGCCGCAACCTTCTCCAGCATTGGGAACTTTTGAACGGCTGCGCTAGCTCTGACACCCATCTTAATCCGTTGGTCTTTCGCTTCATAGCCGACGCTATTAGCCGCATTTTAACTCTGCACGAATTGGCTATCGAGGGTTTATCAAAAAGAGATGCGCCGGAGTCGAGTGTTTGGGAGAGTTCCGGTGCGGGACCCGATTTGAACATGTCCGGAAATGCCATGTCGCCGATCCGGAATACGGCGCCGACGTTTATTTCTAGCCTGGTGTTAGACGACGAGGAAGAAATCGCCATCGTCGGTCGGGAAGCTTTGATACATTCTCTCATGTGTCTCGGAGCTGTACTACAAGACATCGAAGAGGAAACTCGCCAGTTTGATCAGGGCCAGTTTACTATTGTAGATAAACCGTTGCGAGATGAAGAGATAAGAGAGCTCATTGGGAGGCTGTTTCGCCTATTAGGAAAGGTCAATTAGTTAGGTCGGGAGGATGCATTAAGCCCCTAGGTATATCTACTCCAGACAGAAACATACATAGTAGATCTGAGTATCATCTGAAGAATCAAGACTTTAACATGATACTGTTATGTCTCAGCGTATTGACATGTCCTCTGTCCCATCTATTCATATTTTGATACAATATAAATAAACATAGCTACAGAAATCGCGGAACTACATTACCTACAGACCACTAACTCAAAGTTCCCTTCTCATGGCATTTATTGGGTATCACACTTAAAAGTCTTACGCCATCAACGCCATTCCCCCTTGTAGCGATTCCATCCTCCTCAACAAGTCTTGTATCAAAAGTCTCGCAGCATCACCTATAACCCCCGCGCTATCGCCCCAATCGAGCGGGCCGGACAGAGTATCCCTTGGATAGCTCTCCTGCCGTGTCCTTCCCATTTCCCTCAGCGCCGCCTGTATCTTCCGTATCCGCAGCCGCAATATTGCAATTACGGCACCCGCCTTAACCGGGTTTTCCACCAGAAAGTCACCAACCCGTATGTTGAGGTCGGCCGACGGAATGGGGAATATGGTCGAGTAAACTGCGAAAGGAGCGCTCGAGACGCCGGGCCACAGTTCCCGGAAGGGGATCGCCAGACGGGTCTCGGATCACCCCGCTTACAGAGTTGGATCTTGAGGCAGCGAAGCGGAAGTTCTCCTCGAACATGGCGACGACACGTTCTGCTAGCATAGAGAGACCGAGAAGCACAGGCCTGTCGGAGGTGAGACAGCTGCGTCCGCGATGCGAGTGGCCGGTGCAGGAGAAAAGGCAGCAATGAAGGGCTCGAAAGTCGCGCTCCGCTTCGAGTGCAAGGTCTATTTGTGGCGGACGTGGTGCAGCGTTTAAGGCCTGCTCTAGCTTTGAAGTTCGCGTGAGGATAGCTGTGTAGCAATCGGTAGTAGAGTCCGAGACAACTTTCCCAACAGGCCCGTCAAGAGCCACCAGAGGAGCGGACCTCGGAGTTGTGTTTGACGGTCCCGAGCGAAAGGGCTTGATATTGCTTGCTGGTACAGAGGTCCAAGAATCCACCTCGTGGCGTGGAGTTCCGCCATGATCAACCGTGGAAGTAAACCCGTTAGGTTGAGACTGATGAGACGTCTCGATCTCGTTACCCATCGGACTATCGTGATGGTCAACGCTTAGAGTACCTGTGAGACTGGGGTCCCAACTCCGGAGGTGATCTTGCGATGCGGTAGCAGCATAGGACCCCAAGCCTATGCTAGCGAAGTTCGCCGTTAGGGGAGGATTGTTCCCATTCTCATATCCCCGTTGACGGTCACTTGCAGGGACACTGTTCAGCGTCGGTGCCATTGTCTCAGGACTTGGCGGACTCTCATCCATAGAACTCATCGAAGCGACATTGTCAACTTTCTTAGGTCTACCCATACGCCTCAGGGGGCTATAGACGCATCGAACTCCCTTGTTAATGCATCGTTTACACGATGGCTTATCCTGACTACATCGTAGTTTGATGTTTTGGCAGCGATCGCATGACGTGCGGTACTTGACGGGCTTGCTAGGAGCCCGAGGTGATGCTGCCATTTATGTACGCTTTGACCTGAAAGCGACAAGATCCGTTATTAATTATCGTCCTTGGTTACTATTGGATCTTTCTTTTTTTCTTTTTTTTTTTCTTCAAATTGATATCAAACTGCTTGGAGCCGTGATGGCTTCATTTTGATTTATAAGTCTGCTAAAAGCTGACGCCTACTATGGTGGACGGTTAGGACATTTATGCCAAAATCAGGAAAATGGATCAGGGCTTTCCAAAAAGGGTAATATAGCAGGTGCACAGTATACTATGCGGGGTATATACAAAGTAAAATATAATTTTTTATTATTATTTAACCAATTAAATTAAAAGATTCGATTGTTAATTTAAATTTTTAATTATTTTATATATATAATACATTTAAATAACTTTATAAAAACAATAATTTAAACGTTATAATTGGTATTATTTTATAGCTTTAATTAATGCGAAAATAATGGATTAAATTACATGTTTATGCGAGGTATATTAAATATTATATTATTATTAAAATATTTGGAGTTTATTTGGAATAATTTTATTAAAATGCTTTTAAAAAGTAGTTATCACGTGTTTACTTTTCCAGACAAACGTTATTTAATTTTATTATAATATAATAATTAAAAAGCCGATTTAAATGTAGTTTAAATTATTATTTTCGCATTAATTAAAGTTATAATATGATATTAATTATAACGTTTAAATTATTATTTTTAAAAAGTTATTTAAATGTGTTATGTGTATAAAACAATTAAAGATTAAATTAACAATGGAATTTTAAAGATTAATAATAAAGATGGCCCGGATAATAAGGCCTATATAATTACATATATATAATTACATAACCTTTTAATATTTTTACCAATTTTAATTTAAATTACATGTAATTAAAACCGTAATTTTTGTTATTTTTTAATTAAAATAGTAATACTTTTTAAAAAAAACTTAAATAAATATTTGTTAAGTTATTACAGTATAAGTTGAAAAAAATGTATGTATTACCTTATAAATTGTGTATACAAGGTAAATAGTCGAGTTTATACTGTACCCCTAACGTTACTATTACCGTATTAAACATAATGCCACCAACTTTTTCGATTTTAGCACAAATGTCCTAACCGTCCACCATACTTACTATTAAATGATTATATAATCGGATTAAAAAGGCATAAAAGGGCGACGTCAGGGGTTACACAGAAGGGCAATTCGGATAAAAGAAATACCGCGCCGCAAATTGCATTTTCCTACAAGTGATATTGTAGAAGGCATCTATGCATGTGGTCCTTTTTAACAAAATCGAGCATTAAACATATTGTTGTTATTTAGTTATGCCGTTATAAAGACATGATTTTCTTTTGGGAAATCATCATAGGCGGAGCGGAGCCTGCTACTGTGCTTTATAACACGCAAACAAGAGTACCTCGACCCCAATACAGATTCTCGCTCGGTAGCAAATGTAGTAGAAGAGATGTCAATAGTAATAAGTAGATACAGGCTTATCTATTTATTCTTATTGAGTTGGGTATTTATAGGTGCAGTTTTCATTCCGATACATTGTTCCCCTTGATATACAGTTGTCATACCTATGACCTATAACTTATATTGTTGTCCTACGATGTTTAGATAAGCTGTCACAAGCAGCCACTGTATAAGAAAATAGAAATGATTATGTATTCTATACTTTGATCCTGGAACCATAAGTAGACTGAAATAGTCACTTAGGCGAGTTTTGGTCTTCATAATTCTAGATTAGAAACAGTAATACCCATGGTAGGGACGGGAGAAGTTCATAAATTAGGTACACAGGTGTACTGGTTCTAGTTCAGCATCCCTTTAAAGAATGCTCGTTACATTATATGGAGTATATGTCCATGTTCACTCCGTTATATAGGTCTCCTGCGCGGGATCTGCGGTATACCTACAACTATTCAGATGAGCTTGGTACCTAGGCTACCAGGTATATGGAATTTTATTATCTTTAACTCACCATATGGGCTGATGTAGATCGACTCCGTGGGCGAGAATATAGTATCTGGAAAGAATACAATAAAATTTCCTAACGTGCTTGATATAACATGCACAAGGTCAAACGATGCAAGACGCCATATCTTTCGTCTGCGAGGTGACTATAGCTAGTGGAACTGCTGCAATATAAATCTGTTGCCCTCTAGTAAGACATCATCACCTACGCCGCGCAGATAAATCGACAGGGCAAAGTCTCTTGCAATGAGATTCAATTCTTCACCAGCTGTGGTATCGGAAGCCAAAAAGACAACAGGCGCGAGGCGCCAGCAGAAGCAAAGCTAATAAGGATAACATATATTGACCATAAATGAAGTGCAATTTATCCCACCAATTAGCGGCCTAAGGTTCGGCATTTGCCCATGGTTGTGGTATGCGGGATGTGTGGTTAACTTGCACTTGACGATGTTAGAACATGTAGCTGAGTATATTAATTGCAGGTTTGTCAAACAGGATAATCTGGTAAATTGGTATATTGGCAGGTTTTAAATATATTATTTCGTCATTTTGTGTAGTCAACGACGGTGTACGATAATACCTTGGGTAGTTTATAGCTCTTAGTTATATCTATTATTATTATTATTGTTATTTTATTATATGGAACCGTATAGTTTTTCTTGGTTGCGGGGTCTAGTTGAATCGGTAAACTCGTCCTACGCTCATATGTATAAGGATTAGAAAGCCTTGCACATTTTTAAGATCTTGAGTAATAAGAGATTTGCAGATCGTGAGATGATTCATCTATTACTTAACAAAACGGGGGCTAGACTCGCGAGTTTGGGACCGACCGTTAATACGGACGTTAGCATGGACGTTAAGGGTATTTCTCCAAGCATAATCGTGGCAAGCGATTGCCGATCACTCCGCGTTTAATCCGCATTGAACTCGATCAGCAAGTTGAGACGAAAGGCAGTGCAAACTGCTGAAGATCTTGTCTAGATCAAATGCTTGCTAGAGCACAATTCAACATGGAACATCCCGAGCGACCCGGCAGTCCGAGCCAAATTTTCAGGGGGTGCGATCCCTCTTCCGTCCTGATCGGTCGCGGCCCGCAACCACGATGGCCTTTTACTATGTATAGCCTACATATTCTCAGAACGAGTCATGCGTATTTCATGTAAGGCGCAGCGAGTCTTTCTCATAGGCACCCTGAGAACCGACTTTCCTATATCTGCGAAAATAGATAGAAGCAGGAGCTCTTAAGGAGGAAGGGTATTGAGGGCATGGGTCGAAATATGAACCATGTTTCACAGCATGGCGGGGACAGCATCACGACATGAGCGATTCCTACGTAGCAAGCAGGCCTCGCTCGATTGGGAATCTGAAAGATCTCTGATGATTTGCTGGAAGGGATCATGAACTCTGACCGAGGTTCCCTCTGGCTGGCGAATGCGCCAACAGTCTGGAAGCGCATGCAGGTGAATGATTGTTCTATGTAGGTATTTAAGTCGAGGCTGATATAGGAAAACCGGCTCCGATCACTAAAAAGGGAGGTGAAACAACTTTCCCTGACTTCTGATAGGTTTATTTAAGAGACGACTCTTTTTGGCAAATCCTATCGACCAATCGGCGATTACTCACTCCTTATAAGGAATGCAGAGCGGATACATATGTGAAGATTTATACCTCAAAAAATAAATCGGCTTTCTATCGGTATTAGTAGAGGAGCAAATGTTGTAAGACAGTCTAGACTTTTTACAAGCAGACTGTCGTGTCAGGTCGGGTGGTAATGAGGGACTTCACTCGTTAGTGCCCATTGGCCTAGGCCGAAGCCAAGTGGAAAGAAAAGAATATCACTGGACGGAGGGCTTAAGCGAAGATCCCAAGCACTTGCATATCGCCGGACCTGCGCCGTCCGGCATTTCAACTGATAAGATGAGATTTTGGTAGCAAACCTAGCCGTAACTAGGAAAAGATACGCACTTTTCTCCCGTTGGGTCGACGGGGAATTTTCTCGAACTTGAAAAGATCGTCGGTTACTTCTCCGGAGTTGAATATAGCGTGAAAGCAGTCAGCCTCTAGCGTATCACCATTCACAACAGGAAACAACTTAAGCTGTGCTAGCAGTTCAACAGAACCTACAATGCGGAGGACGTGGACTAGGAGAACAATAGGATCCGTCATCGTATGACCTAGGCTATTAAGCGCTTCGGCGTACGCTTATTATTCTCGAGGCGGCGCGGTAAAAATAAAATATATTCAACATGGCTCGTGGGAATAGGAGGTATTGCTGGGCGCGCGCTTAATACAAACGGAGTTATTTTCAACCCCTTCCCGCGGTTATCGTCAGTAAACGCTTAGTGTAGCAACGGTAGTTCTCAGTGTTGTAGCGGGTAAATATGAACAGTGATACAGATTGTTACTTTGATATCTTTGTTGAGTTGTTCATTCGTAAATACTACAGTAAGACTGTTGTGCTGGTTGTAACCCGTATGTATAGGTATGTAAGAGGTAAGGATTGAAAATTAAAGCCAGGTTTGACCAATCCAGTGAGATACCTACGACCTGTACTACGCACATGTACACGAACTAAATCAAGCTTACATAACTGCATAGGTAAGTACCGAGAAATGCACAGGAAAGAAGAAAGAATAGGGTAGGGGGGCCCAGTTTATCTTTCGTTGTCTCACCATGAAGTTATAAACCCCTGCCAACCCGTTGGACAGAACATCCAAATTTGTACAGTACTTATCTGATTGGTTGTTCCCGTACATAATAGCGTGCTGAGTGCAGATGCCAACTCAGCGTATGCCGTACAGTACCTTGCATACCTAGGTAACCAGGGGCCACGCTAAGCTAGCTAGCCTATTCTAGATGCACGGTGCCCCTGTCCCCTTTTTTTCTCCTTCATTTTCTTCATCCTGGCCAAATCGATTGCACCAACCCCTCTCTCCCACATGCGGGAAACCTTTTTTAACGACCTGGCGATGGACTGTTGGAACCGCGTCGGCTGCCGGCCTTCGGTCTACGAGAATTTTACAGAACTTTGCAGCCGAACTTATGTACAATGCATCTCACATCATACTTGCCAACTCATCGTGGTTGGTTGTACGAGCCTTAAGAAAAAGGGGTTTGCTGCTCAATGAGATGTCAAGAATATGATGGGCTACAATATGACAAGTTTTCTCTTGATAGGTATTATCCATCATAATATTACCACTATTAATGCTGACTGAGAGACTAGACCCGTTGGGCTCCATCTTAAAAAGTTGAAAGGTGACGGGGCAAGCCCACGCCGCTCGGAGCTTTTTAGGAGCACGACAGGACAGGCAAGACAGAGAGCTCGGCGCGTCGCGAGTGGTCAGTGCTAGGGCCAGTGCTGGCTCAGAATTCAGGAACAGCGCGCCCAATGTTACTCTGGGGTTTCCTACCCACCATCTCAGGCCTATCCAGATGCTACCAGGGCATATATCCAAGCCGTATTTCCAGTCAGTCAAAGCCAGTACAGGACCTGGCAGAAGAAAAAAACCAAGCAACCCCCCTACCGGTTTCACCCTTAAGCTTCCATAATTAATTTCCGCGCTAGTCACGTATCATGCTTCCCATTTCTCTTGTACCTATCACCTTATCTATTCGCTTCGACTATCCGATATCCTTGGACTATGCACCTAGAACTGCTAGGCTCTATGTTTTCTTCTACCATCCACTTTTTAGGCAGTGCCACCCATCTGTTTAGATCCGTGTGGATCTATCGAGCCCCCGTCAATGCAGTGGAGCCTATAACTCTTTGACCGAGTGGTACTGCATACAACACAACCGGGTCTCTATTATGGGCTCTTAATATATATCTCCAAGGTGAACTGCTTCCGAGCTCTTCTACTAGTCTTTTTTCTCTCCGCGCCCAACTTTTGTGCATTTACGCTCTCTTCTTCCGCCTTGCTAGCCGAGTTTATATACCACATTCTTTTTCACTTCCGTGTTGATAACTAGTTAGTTATCAACTTGTTTGCTTCGTCTTTCATTTTTAACTATATATCCGTCAAACTCCCTGCAAGTCAGGATTCTTTCTACTGTTGCAGCCAGGATAGCTCTCTCTTTACCACATCTTAGCCCAAGTCGACTCTCTTAGAAAGTCTATAGAACCAGGGCATTTACTGTCATTATACAACTGATCTCAAAACTCGGCACTTCCTGTCATTTCCGACTTCAGTCCTTCAAAATGCGCTTCCAACAAAGCATCCTCGCTTCCCTCGTCCCCGGCCTTGTCGCCGCCATTGCCCCACCGAACATCCAGGGCATGGACATCGTTTTCTCCGAGTCTTTCGAGGGGCCAGCAGGCGCCTCTCCTAACGGTGACACATGGAACGTTATGGATGCCATCAACACCAACAACGAAGTCCAGACGTACACCACCTCGAACCAGAACGTCCAGATCAGCGGCGGCGGTACTATTCAGTTCGTTCCCAGGAAATCGCCGTCTGGCCATTGGACCTCGGGACGTATCGAGACTAAGGGATCCTGGACTCCCAAGGCCGGCAAGGTCTTTAGCATACAGTCAAGCCTCCTGTTAGGAAACAACCCTAACAAGCAGGGTATCTGGCCTGCCTTCTGGGCTCTCGGCGATGCTATGCGCCACGGTACCCAATGGCCTGCTGCTGGAGAAATAGATATCATGGAACAGGTCAACGGACTTCTTACCGGCTATGGTACCGTCCACTGCGGGTCCGCCCTTGGCGGCCCTTGCAACGAGCCCGTCGGCCGCGCCGGCACAACTCCCATGTCGCCCGACGGTTTCCACACCTGGGGCGTTACGATCGATCTCACAAACGACGACTGGCGAGCGCAGACCATTACATGGCACCTGGACGGCAACAACTACAACACTCTCACCGGAGCTGATATCAACGATGCTCCCGTCTGGTCTTCTCTGGCCCACAGCCCCTTGTAAGCATCCCTGTATTGCTACTACCTGGTGGATAATTGCTAATTCTACGTCTTAGATACGTCCTCCTCAATGTTGCTGTCGGTGGTGACTGGCCTGGTTTACCCAACTTGGCTACGCAAGATGGCTACGGCAGCATGATGGAAGTTCAATGGGTTGCCGTCTACTCGTCTTAGACAGTATTCTCCGATTGCGTGTAACGTGATCTGGTACCTCAAAATAGAAGTGGGTGTATATACGGGAAATTGGCGTTTGTCAGATATCGGGTTCGGGATTTTTGGATGAAGCGCTCGAGATACCTCTATGTGTTACGTGATTTTTTTTCTTTTCTATATTGTCTCAGGAGGCAAGGCGTAGCCATTTTAGTCGCCACATCTGCTTTTAGAAGTATAGTAGATGACACATCTTGTTTCAATTAGACACGATGAAATGAATCTGCGAACTAGCTGCTTAACTTGTTAGACGCATTTACAATTCTGCCAACCTTTTAGTTTCCATTAACAAACACTAACCGCGGATTACTTACGATGCTTAGCAAACCTAGTTTTACATATCATATTACGCTCGAAGTCACTGGAATCCTTGCGTACCTACATTTAAACAATCCTAGATAATGACTTCTGGGCCTATCTACTTATGTGCAGCTTGAAGAAAGATGGGCGTGGACTTAGTCCTATTTAACCTGTATCCATGTCTAGCCTATTATCTGTTTGTCGGGTTGGTTTTCTACATTGTGTAGCGGAACTAGGTGAATTATAGGTGTTAGATGAGGTAGCTTGTAATAGGGGTAATAAGAATAGGGGTCAACTTACATAAGGATTCTCGAAGTCCGTATGGTCTTGTTCTCCAAGCTGCTTGCCCCTTTCTACTCTCTCCTCCTCGGTGATGCCCTGCTCGCCTAGCCACTTTTCCCGCCGCCGATTCCGCATGACTAACACAATCCGCCATGCTATCAGTACGATGAACTCTAGCCCAAAGCATACGGCACAGCCGGCGGTACCAGGAATATATCGTGGCTTTAGATGTCCTTGTTAGCGAGACCTTCAACGGTTTCATGTTGAAGGGGGAATACGCACAGCATCCTTTGCAAGAAAGATTTGCGATCCGACCATGTTGCCCACGCAGTACCCGACAAAAGTAAATGATGATGTCAACGTGCGCTTTGTGCGTCCGGCAACGTTTGAGGGAATCAGTGTCCAAGCGAGAAACAGCGCTACCACGCTCGGGACAGTGATGAAGTAACTATTGTCGCCCAGCTCCTCGTTAGTATCTTTACTCTGGGTTTATGGTCTTATGAGTAAATACTACTCACCCTGCCCACTTAATCCACTTGTAATGAGGTTCGTTAGGCAGCGTCGCCATCATAATGAAGCCCGCTACCGGAGGAATGACGGAGATAATCATGAAATACCTAAGACTCCGAATCAGCTACCCCTTGAAAGCTCAAAAAAGTTATGTACTCTCTTTCCGATGTGACTTACATGCGAAGGTTCTTCTTCCTGCTTGTGACAACACCAATGAAGATGAACCATATCACGGACGTGACATTCCGCGGTATATCGAGGAGAATTACCTGTAGGTTGGCTAACACGCTGTAAGCTTTCACGGTCCTATAGTTGGTCTTATAGATAACTAACTGAATCCGGCGTTGGTATTGATGATGGCTCCGAAGGCGGTTATTCCACCGTTAGGCACTGAACTCAAGAACGCGTTGACTCCAGCTAACCAGAACTACAATGGACATGATTATGTTAGTGAATATAAGTTTCACACCGGGATTCTCTCTGAGTTAGGTACTTACGCAGGGATCGACTAGACATTCCTGCGCTTGCTTCCACTTCCATCTCCTGATGCCGGTCCGGTCGTGGCCAGTGTTGTTACTCATAATGCGGGCATTGGCTATCTTCCTCTCTTCCGGGCTTAGCCATCTCACTTCGGACGGCGTGCCAAGCAGGAATAGGCACAGAAAGCCGGTGATAATCGTCATGCCACCGAGGAACTACTTCGGTAGACCATCAGGTAACCGTTAGCATAATTCTGAGTAATGATAACCTATCTCGTAGGGGCCAGTTCTGCCAACTCACATAAGACATGTATCGCCAAGCCTGAAACTCAGGACCCCGAGAGTATTGTAGCGATCCAATCCCGTAGAGAATCAAGTTGGCAATAATTCCGAAACCAGCATTGGCGCTCTGGAAGACGAGCGACCGCGACGCATGTTCGCGTGTCGTATACCAGCTTCCAACGACGAGAATGAAGCCAGGCGAGATACAACACTAGATAGGGGCAACGCCTTGTAAGTACTCCTATGTTCCCAAGCCTTCAGTTCAAGGAAGTAAAACTTACCTCGAACATACCCTGCAACGCACGTAGGGTGACCAGCTGTGTGAAGTTCTGCGTAAATCCGATACATAGAACTACGACACCCCAGCAGATCATATAACATGATAATGTTCGGCCCATTAGATACCGCTGCAGGATGACGTTGGACGGAAACTCGAAGCACATGTATGTGATATAAAATATCGTCGTGAGCCATGAGTATTGCTGTCCAACCAGTCCGGTATCCTAAGTCGGTGTTAGTAGAAGAACTGGTTAGATACCTAAGCTTGTGGAATTCTAGTAGTACCTTTGAAAGTCCAAATGTGGCCTGAGTTCCGATTGAAGTCTTGTCGCTCTGTTGAATGCCATAGCAAAGCCACATTAACGGTAGAAGATATCTATCAGCCTTCCTTTTCAGCTTTTTATACTGCTCGTCGGTGTAATTTGGAGCTGTTCATTAATAAGTATCTCAATTACCGGTAATATAAGACGAGGCGAAGTCAAACCTGAATCATCTTGAAGCTCATCAGCCGCTATACTGCTTTTCTCGCTTATCTCCACATCGTTTATCTTCTCCGGGTCTTTCTCCGAGCTACTAGATGTCTGCAGGGGAGTATTCGTTTCTACTGGAAGCATTGATATCTCTACGTTTTGCGCCATTATCGACGACGTATTATGAAACTCATTGAACGTTCTTGTGAAAACCGCAAGACATCGTCTACAAGATACAAAGGGCACGTTATTGCTTATATGCAGATGCGAGCCCTAGGACCCCGCGGGACCACAACGACGCCATGTTTATCTCGGATGAGATAATGTAGATAAGAATAACGACATGCATGGGATGCGGGTGACGTCTACGGCTTGCTTCCCATCCGGAAGTTCGTATCTCCAAAAATGCTGACTGGACCGGCATCATGGTTTGATAAGATCTTTTTCTACTCTTAATTTCTGAAGTGTGAGTACCGCTAACTAAACTGAGCATCATAGCCTACATTATGGTCTTGGATTCTTCACATGTAATAACATTCTGCTTGGCAAAAGTCAACTCTTGAGAAGCGTATCTACTTCCTTATCTTCTGCCTGCTCGAAGGTGGAGTCCGGGGAAGATCGTCATGCCACGCAACCATTGAATCACTCCAATTGCTTATCAAGGCTGGGTCTACGCCACGGCATTTAGACGAGTCTTGGTATGTAACCTCGGCTTAGATAAGTACCTACATATCTAATCTATTCGGACAGGACCGATGAATATAAAAAGCTTGGATTCGGTCTGCAGTGGATCGCTTTGATCAAGAAATTTCATAACCCCTTAAACTTGATTAATGTGTTAAAAGTATAAGAGTTTACATTTATAATTCCTATATCTCAGTCAGGATCCCTGTTCATTGATTTGGCTCGGGGGAAATGACCGGGGGTATTGAAGATATCGAGAAGATCGCATCGACTTATAGGTGGGGCATTATGAGGTAGATGGGAAATATTTTTCTAACTGAGCTCATCTCTTAGATGTGAATATTGGCAAGTGGATCGCATCGCTCCGAGATATCGATATTGAAGACTATTTAGATAAGGGTTATATTTTACTATTCTAGTCGCCGAAAATGACCCAGAGTTAGGGAAGCATCGCACATTATTTAGGTAGTATTAAGATAAAGACTTTACGGTAAAGGTTTATAGATATTTATCTAGCTGTTAGTAACGAACTCTATGCGGTTTACTATTAAGATAACCCGACTAAACTGGGCTTCCAAGGTATGCTAGCTATACTGTGTACTCGTGAAACCTATGCCATTATTAGGTTCATATTAAATAATAAAAGCCGGCATATTTACTTGAAGCTTCTCAAAAAGCACGTCGCATCTCTAGGTTACTTTGTCTTTGTTGTAGTAGGACTTAAAACATAACTATTACCCCTGAGGATAGAATAGAGGTTGGGCTTTCAATAAGCGAAGAAGTGCCGTATTTTAAGATATGCATCAGTTAAATTACATATCCGACTAATGACTCCTATATCTATAACAAAGCACTGAGAGGAATACCGACTAATATACACGTACCCAAATCAAAATAATTACAATCAGACCTTTCGCTTCGTAACCTCCGTCTCCCCTAGCACCACGACCCTCACCCGCTCTCTGTCAAAGAACTTCTTCTCATCTTCGTCAATAATTTTCGCATTATCTTCCTTGCTCACGATCTCATAAAACCCTTTAAATATCTCCTCGCTCTCAAACACCATCTCCGCTACTACATCGAAATCGAAATCTTCCTGTGATCCCGCGATCACCTTAGCGTTCTGCCCGTCGGCGCGCTGAATGTATCGTCGTGTGTGTGACAGGGGGAAATATGCGCCTGTTATTTCCTGTATGAGGGGCATATGCTCATCGTAGCGTTGTTTGAATTGGGCCGGAGAGACTCCGGGGAGACGGTGGCCGAAGACGAGGACGTTGAAGGTCATTTTGGAAAGATTCTAGGTCCTGTTTATTCGGATGAGATTGCTGAGAAGGGGAATTTATCTAGACTGAAATTCAAATTTGTAAGTCAATAGTATAACAATATCCGCTGTTAATAATGCTATTTGGTATTTCAGTTCAGCTGGCTTGGTTAACTATTGTTAAATTTAGCTATGAAGGAAAAATATGTTTCTTATATGTACAATACATAGCTGATGATGAATATAGGACTCTAATGACACGTTTCTCCTAGCTAGTCCTAGTGGGTTCGAAATCCAATTAGTCTTATTAATCTGAAGTCTGACATGTCCTTCAATACCGGGGTAGCGATACGTGGCCCAAGTGGAATCTTACAAGGCAAATGGCCCTCATCTTGATATAAACCACCCTATTTTTCTATTCTATGTTTATAAACCATTTAAAGCTGTGAGAAATAGAACGGCTTTCGACTATAATCCCAAGGGCATGCTGCGGTACCTTCTCATCCTCTTCTTCCTGTTTTACATTACGGAGCAGGCTCCCCAATCAACTCGGCCACCGTCCTGAGACGAGGTCCATTGGGACTGGGGGAGTTTAATCGTCTTGATTATTGAATCCATCTTCTGCAAGTCGCGTTTAGTTGTGTTGTTTATTTATTTGTTAAGGCTAGGTTGGCTTTTCGCTTAAAGTGTAGGTAGAAATAGACTTTGTGGATGTTATACCGCCAGGAGGAGCATGGGCCTTAAATCATAAATCATGGCCTTTGTAATGGTTTCTATGTCACATGGGGCAGTATGGCATGAAGTTACATTTTTGTTCGCCTCGGCGGTTTTTGTACATGGTTTGCATAGGCCGAGTAAAGGAAATCCTATGATTGGATATCGCTGGCTCCTTGGCAATAAGGCATCCTGCGGTCTAGTTCTACCGAAAATAATGTGCATTTCTTCCAAAGAGACATATCACAAAGCAAATGCCCGAGTTTACGAGGGGTTATTGTGTCGAATTTTTTCCATGGCCCAAATAGGAAAGTAACTCAATGGGCAGTATCTGGCACATGCGCAATTATGTAAACTCGGGCATATTGTGCAGCCCGCAGGGCTGCCTCCAGTTTAGGCTATGATTAGAACGGTGCCGATAATTGATATTGATAAGTTATGGTTTTCCTTTATATCTCTCTTTGATACTGGGGCGCTTTTGTTTGTGTTATCATAAGTCGGTTATATGACAATATATATAAGTTTGATTAGTCAAAGTATACCGTAGAAATAAATAACTCCAAGCTTGAAGATAGCTCCGAGCCTATACTATTTAACCCCGAGCTATGTCTCTGACCGAACGTAAGTCCTGCAGCTCTGTGCAAATAAACGCCCGTTTCGAAAGCCACGTTCCTTCTGAACCCTTGAAGCTGATGGCTTTAGCGTAGCCTTCGCTTTGTCTTGCCATTTCATGCAAAGGTGTGGTAGTACAATCTCACATACTAAATGCTGCTGCGGCTGTGATTTTCTGCTCGTGATACGCATATTGTAGTAGTACCACGATCTTGTGAAATTGAAATGTCAAGTTTCACATCTGTAAATGCCTAGTAGGAGTATGTTTCTCGCCACCAAAATCTTGATATAGATTGTAACTAGATTTGAATTTAGGAAATAGTCTATGTTACCGATTAAGGTATAAAAGAACAATAAGCTCGGACAATAGAGCCTGTTAACTAGTAAGGTACGCAAAAGCCACCAGAGCCTTACTTTGCGCACCGATTCATGATACGACGAAATCAGATGCAAGTAAGAATTAGTAACTTCTAGTAGCTGATGCATCCTATGCTGTCACAAGATTAAGTAATGATTATGATAGGTAATGAGGCTTAGAGTGACTTCTGCTAACAGCTGTGCTTAACGTATGCTTGTGCGTTGAAATTAGCCCGGGATGACTGCTTATGGATTGGAGAAGTGCTTTTTTCCTATCACCTGTCAATAGACCTAAGCCTTCTGACTAGGATACCGTATGTTTACTTACCAACCGGATTGTGGTGAGGTAGGTCTACGTAGCTGAGTGCAAATGTGACTATGTGCTCTCACTCTGCGCAGCATAGGGGGAAGGATTTCTTGCCTCCCTAAAAGGTAGGTAGGCTCTGTCGTCTCTCGAATTTAATTTTTCTGGCTTTTATTGTCAAATTACGCATCCCTGAGACAATACCTCTTGTATCTCGTCTAGAACACCGTCGAAATCTCCTAGATGTTTTTGAAAACATTGGCATTTGTAGCCTTGCTCTTCTCTCTAGGAACGAGCCAAAGCCATCTTGCACCGGTTGTTGACCTAAAGTATGAGCTGTACCAAGGGTATTACGATAATAAATATGACATCAATGCATACAAAGGGTACGATTTACTTCTCATGCTAAAAGCATACGAGGCTCTAGCTAACGATATCCTAGGATACGGTATGCCGCTCCTCCAGTTGGGAAGCTTAGATGGCAGCTACCACAACCCCCGAACCAAAACAGGACTCGAGTAATTCCAGCGATCGGCTATGCATCACAATGCCCCCAAACATTAAACTCGCCAGGGTATGTATAGAAAGCCTCTACATGGAATCAAAGCTAAACTGGATAATAGTCCGCATAAACCGGGCCCATCCGGCTCCGAAGACTGTCTCTTCGTGAATGTCTTCACACCGGCAAACAAAACAAAGCTACCCGTAATGGTTTGGATTCGTAAGTTTTTAATGTTCCTCATTAACATCCATAGTTCTGATGCGAATAGATGGCGGTGGATATGGCCAGGCAAACGGGGGATTTGACCCATCACCACAAATCCATACCAATGGCAACACTTATATCATAGTGACAATCCAGTACCGGCTAGGGGCTTTCGGGTTCCTTTCGTCAGCCGATTTGGGTAGATCTGGTATACCTAATGTAGGAATCCATGATATGTACTTCTCATTAGAATGGGTTCAGGAGTATATTCACCTATTTGGTGGAGATCCCGGACAAGTGACTATCGCCGGGGAATCTGCTGGCGGAGGTGCCGCAATGCTCCTTGGTATGGCCTATGGAGGTTTCGACAACACTGCCTTGTTCAAGGGTATCATCGCCGCAAGTCCTTTCCTCCCATCTCAATGGTAAGTTGCATCTTTCATATACTATCGACGATCGCTTAATAAATACTAAGAACTGCCATAGGGAATACGACGGCGCCATGCCAACTGAATACTACTATCGTTTCGCGGAGACGTTGGGCTGTCTTACGGATGGATCGAAAGCGAACGAGTCAGTCTTCGAATGTTTAGTCTCGGCAGACACGGTCGATCTTCAAACTGCCAGTGACTACGTCAGTACAGGAGCACCTCACGGTCAATGGGCCTTCGTTCCCGTCACGGATGGGAGGCTTATCCAAGAAAGGCCCACCGACCATCTCCTGGGAAGAGGGGCGCTTAATGGCATGCGTATCTTGTCAGCAAGTAACCTAAATGATGGCCCAGACTTCACTCCTCAAAATATAACGAATGAGGATGATTTCAGGCACTTTGTCACAACCATCTACCCACTATTAAGCGAAACGAACATAACAAATATCCTCAAACTCTATGCCATTCCCAAAAACGCCTCAGATATATTAGTCAACTCCAACGGCGTGGGGTCACCGTACTCGACAACAAACTCCGGATGGGCCTACGGCTGGCAGCAAGCAGCTACGAACCTATATGCAGAAACTACATTCGCCTGCCCATCGTACTGGCTCTCCGACGCGTACGCAAATAAGCGAGGTGGGAAGTCATGGCATTATCAATTATCAGTTCCGCCTGGACAGCACGGTCTCGACCTATACCCGTTACTCCAGCCGATAGATATTCCGGATACCAGTATGGACGAAGTGTTTCGCGTTGCCTTCCAGAGGATTTGGGGAAACTTTGTAGTGAATGGCGACCCAACGCTCAGCGAAGCGCAAATAATCGACGCAGATAAGGGGAATATTATTGCAGCAGGTTCTGGAGCATGGCCTCAGTGGGAGGCAGAACCGGGGTACAACTGGATGCTTAACGTGAATATGACCGGTGGCACACCAACTACAACTGAATTTGTCATCGACGGTGTCGCAATTAACGTCACTAGCTATTTGCCTAGTAGCGATAAATCAATACCGCCCTTAGTAGCCGACTTCGCGATCGCGGAAGGAAGTTCTTGGGAGGACGGACGACGGAAAAGGTGCCAATTATGGGTAGACCTCGGCCCCTGGATTAAGGAATAACGAAGACTCGCACTGATGACGACGTCGAGAAATTACGATGCTGCCGGTATGAAAGTAGCATGGCTTGATACTAAGTTTCTGGAACCTATCGAAATGAGTACCGAATTTACATCTATCTCGGATCCCGTAGGACGGCTTCACCCATTGGGTTCTCCACCGGCTGTTCCGACGGCGACGGAGCTTCCTCGATGTCCGTATCAGCGGAACCCGCTGCTCCTCTCTTTGGAATGTCATCTCTCCTTATACTCCAACCATTAGACCATCCTACCCAGCCGGTTTCCCTTGGACCACGAATTATACCGACGATAATAGCTACGCCGATGAAAGCGATGTTGGAGCCACTACTCCAAACCCAACCCCCCTGAGCGTACAGTCTATTTCCGACAGCTGTACCCATAATTTGCCCACCAAAGGCGAAAACCATATATACTGTATTCACACGGTTCCTTGCTTTCGGATCGAGGCTATAAATATTACTGCGATTAGCAGTGTGCGTGAAGTTTGCACCCGAGTCCATCATGATAGCATGGATAATAGGTCCCGCTACCGTAAAGCTCCCGATGAAGGTCGATATCACAATACCGATAAACTCGAAACCAAGACCAAGAACGACCGAAAAGAGGAATTCGAAGCGATCTGTAATGAGACGCGACCAGACTGGAGCAAGTGCGACAACCACAATTCCAATAAAGGCAAAACATCCGATTTCGAGAGAAGAATACTCATACGGCGGCGATGCGAGAAGGAAAGTCAGAGTTGTCCAAAAGGAGGTAAAGGCGGCGCTGAGGAGAAACCCAATAATACACGCCTGGGTGAGGAGCGGCTCTGTGACGACCATGACAGCCATTCCCCACAGGACTTTAAAATAGTTAAGCCCCTTGTTCTTTGCGGGATAGTCAGGGAGAAAGAAATAGAGCAGCACTAAAGTCAAATATTGTGCACCGAATGCTATCCAGTAGATGTTTCTCCACGACGTGAAGTTTGCCACTATACCTGACAGGACCCTCGCGATCAGTAATCCTAGTGCTAATCCCGATACTACTACTGACAGAGAACTAGCACGGCGATGAGCCGGTGCTAAGTCGCCAACAAGTGGTAGCATTAGCTGCGGTGTGACTGTTCTACTTGACCGTTAGACATGAAGTAAGGCAGCCTGAAGTAAGGGATACCAGAAGAAAGCATTGCGTAAATAATAATGAATAGCTGCTTACCCAACTCCACACAGAAACGACAAGCTAATGAATACTTCAAAATTATTCGTGAGACATAACCCAATCCACTACACAGGATCCCTAGGTGAGCATATAACACGAGTTATCATCTATAATCGGACACTCACAATAGTTGCAGTCACCCATATAAGGAAAAGAATAAACGGCCGCCGCGGAACCATATCCGCCAAGGGGCACAGAAAAAGCAGGCCCACGGCATATCCCGCTTGCGACAACGTGGCGACGTCAGAGGCGCGCTCGTAGCTTACGTTGAAGTCCCTAGCTAAGACGTTCAAGATTGGTTGCGCGTAGTAGAGGTTCGCAACGGTGAATGTTCCGCTCTGGGAGAGGTTAGATCAGGGGATGTTTGTTGGTTGGCAGTATGCAATAAATTATAACATACGAAAGCGAATAATATATTCAGCGCGAGGGTGAAGTTTGGTGGGTTCTCGGGGTCGTAGCGGCAGCGCTGCGGTATCCAATTCCAAGCTTTTATTGCCTTAGCTAGCAGGGTGTTTTGTCCCGTCTCTTCAAGAGTTCCCGGTGACGAAGTTCCATTGCCATCTTGACTTGACGTAGAGATGCCTTCCGTATTAGGTCCTAGATCAGGCTTCTCGGACTGGTCTCCGTCTTTGATATCCACTGCCATTGACTATTACCTTTACTAGTATATCTCTAGTTCTCTAAGTATAATATTGGTGGTTGTCAATATGGTGGTTTCAAGGACGTGATTGGGGAAACCCGGCCGATGTCGCTTATGACGTCCAGTATTTTGTACCTTTCTTTGACGTAGGGTCGAATCTTCTTATATTTAAAAGCCGAGATATCTTATACGTCCTCTCTTCGATTTTATTGTCTCGACTAGATGTAATGGAGTTAAATGACGTGGAAAATATATGGGCAAGTTATATGACATATACCCAAGAGCCTCTTCAGGGGTTCTATCCACGTCGTATTTATCATATGCAGTCAAATCCCCGTTAGTCCGATTATCGCTGCATCTTTCGGCACTTGTGTTATCGCGGCTTACTGCTAAGGGAATTACTCCTTCAATTATAGTAGTATAGAAAATTAGCGGTGAGATGTCGCCATCGCGATTCGTCGTCACTACATCTATAATGTTGCAGTTGGTTTGTCGATTTATATTTGTTAAAATCCCGATAATAAATCGTGCAGCTTATCATTCCATCTCTCATATCACAATGGTTTAAATTCCTTAACAAGTCTTTGTTATCTATTTATAGAACTATTCCCACTTTGGTAAAAGTCTACCAATATGTTTCGTTCTGTGTATCCCTAGTAACTTTTCCTTCGCCCTCCGCAAGTTCACCAATCCCCAGCTCGCCAGGGTTACCATCTTGAGTCCGAATATTGCCATATCTAACCCTAAGGTTCTTCGAGAGTCTCGATCGTTCGCTATCATCTAAAGTGGTACCACCAAAAGGTACGCTAGGGCAATTCGACGTGCTTCCCCTGATCATTGTCGACACGTTCATGAGCAAGTTGGGGATCCAAATTCTCAAGTCGAAGATAGCCTTGACGATGGCACTGATAAACATCGTCATGATTGAGATCACAAGCACTACCATCTACCCTCTATTATAAAAGAAATGCGTTTCGGTGTGAGTGCTTGTATCCGACGTTTCCGCGAGAGGAGTCCAAATGGGATAACCGGTGTAAAAATCCGTAGAGAAGGCTAGGTTTTCCGGATGGCCCCCGTAAGTGAGGTTGAAGTTATAGAACGACTTCCAATAGCTGTTAAGTATCTGCGAAAGCCGCACCGCAAACGACTCGTTGCCAATAGCCGTAATGTCAGAGTCTATATTGTAACTATGCAAGGCTGTCTTGGCAAAATGTGTGTCTGGGCTGAGTAGGTAGTTCTGGAATAAACCTGGCCCTATAGAATGCGAGACATCACTACTAGTCGATCGACTTTGCAGTCCCGGCCTTTGCAATTTACCGAATTTTGAAATTTGTTGTCCCTATAGTGCAGTTTGCTGCGGTTGGCTTATGGGGCACCTGTATTCCTAGTCCGAGCAAAGAGCTGTCTCTCTACTTATACTAAACAACTCAACTTTGACACGACGCGGTTAGAAGCATGTTTCTATTTATATACTTGCCTCAGGTATATACAATACATATCTAGGCACCCGCGATTATTAATTGTTACGATGGTATGGTGATAACTCTGCTTGGAATGGTTTAATTAAAAGTTTCACGGCATACTTAAACCATTTGAAAAAATAGCAGATACGATGATTTCAATGGGTGGTATGGTGAGGGGCTCTATACTAAATCTCAATTGGAGAAACAATGGCTACATTTTTGTACCAATAAGACTAACATGCGACCCCTCATTGTAGTTGACTTGGTAAATAGGGCGCCACGCCGTTTATACTCCTTCGATTACACTAGTATAAAACGTACATAGTACTACAAATCTACTGGTCCAGCATAAGTAAGTCAGTTATGAATATATTAATTATGAACAGCACAGACAAGTAAAATCTTATCGTTCTTATCGCTTAGGACCTATGACAACGCCGATGCAATTGCGCAATGCATCGGATAAGTGTCGGCGGATCACTTGTACCGAACTTACAAGGTCTTTAAGTCTTATCAGTCAGACCGCTACAAAAGGCAGCGGGGACCGGACGCATCCCCCATTGGATAGTTTAATCGCTATAGGTAAACTTTTCAGGCATTGGGCTCGCTTTCTCTTTGTCCCCGAGACATCTTAATACAAGATATTCTTGGATCCGTCTTACAGCACGGAGGAATCGATACTCATGGCAGCAGATGAGACATCACCGTTACTCGAAAATGCGGCCCCTCCGAGGACAAACAGGCCCGCCAAGCCCGCTGGTACCCTTTTCGGTCCCGCAAACCGAATTCTCCTTGCCGGCTTCATGATGGCTTTCACCCTCGGCATCACACAGGTTCCGTAAGAACAACCGCTACCTATCCATCCGCCTTGGCATCATATCAACCTCAGTCTCAATCTCAATCTCAATCTCAATTACGAACTCGATACTGACTATGAGGTCAGAATCAATTATGTGTTCCGTCTTATGGAATGCGATGTCTTCTATAGCCACAATCCCCCGTTTGAGGGACCCGGCGATCGATGTCATCGTCGAGAGATTAGTGCTGGCACTGCGACTCAGGTTTCTATCCTGGGCATGTCGACGTCTTTTAGCGGCGTTTTCAACCTATTTATATGCGGCTACTTTATCAAAATCTGGGGTCCGCGATGGGCCTTCGTCTCCCAGACTGTACTTCTAGGTTTGAGGGTATGTACACAGATTGTCGCCGTGACAATCGGTGGCCGGGAAGGTATAATCATTTTCCAAGCTTGTCAAGCTATAGGTATCATTGGAGGACCCCGCGGCTTTCAGTGCGTATAACCTTGATCCCTGATCCTGTTCCAGTGGTACTAATTAAACCAATGTAGACTGGTTCTCAACACCGCGGTAAGCGAGCTGGTCGCGCCTAGGGACCGCACGGCCGTTTTCGGTCGGCTACAGGGGTCGATCATGTTAGGAACTGCATTTGGTTTCCTGCGTAAGTCCAAGGAGACAATTGCATTATCAGCACATTCAATTAACAACTTTTATAGTGGGAGGCGTGCTCGGCGACATTTACAATATTAGGCGTCCTTTCGAGACTGCGTTTTTCCTCTATGTGGTTTCTTCGCTATACGGAGCACTATTCTTACCGACGGGGGCAAGCGATGAGGCTGCCGGTAAGAAACAAAATGGTCGGGGCATTAGTGCTTTCTTCGCACCCATCAAGATAATCGCACCTCATTCCTACCGTTTGGAGTCGGGCAAGGTCATCAAGAATTACAGCTTGATCTTCCTCGCCCTAGGTATTTTCCTCGGTGTCGTAAGTCACAGCATCAAAACCGTATACTTCTCTTTATTGGCCCTCTAACTATCGTGTAGTTCTCTTCCGGATATGTCCCGATTCTCTTGCAGATGTACGCCACGTCTGAATTTGATTTCGGCACTAGTGAGAACGGATATCTCATGTTCGGTAACGCGGCTATCCGCGGTATATTCTTACTTTTTATGTTCCCGAAGATCATATCTTCCGGTCGGACCTGGTTCAATGGCACATCAACGCCAGCGGAAACCAGAGAACATAGAGTAGAAGCCGATATTCCAGTTAACCCAGGGGATTTCGAAGCCGATGAGGTCGGAGAAGTACCACAAGAACCAATACAGCCCCTTGAGGATGAGGAAGATTCCGGGACCGGATTTGACCTCTTCTTTGTCAGGTGGAGTTTAGTCGTCGACTCAATAGTGACAGTCATTGCAGGCTTCTCTACGGAGGGTTGGCAGGTATATCTCGGTAAGATGCCCAGAGACATCGTTTCAAGGTTCTCGATGAAATTGACAATTGACAATTGATAGCTGGCTTTTTACTGCCGTTTGCTTCGGGATCGGCACCGGCAGCCAAGGGGGTTATGACTGAGCTATGTCCCCCGCAACAACGACAAGATGCCATCAGCGCCATCACCCTAGTGGAGAGCACAGCTACATTATTGACACAAGGACTTTTTGGCTTAATCCTTGCTATTTTCTCGGAACTCGGCCAGCCGAGCTTAACATTTTTCTGCAACGCCGTATGTCTTAGACCCCTATTCTAGTTTCCAATAGTGTACTTACTGACGTCTACCCAGGGGTTTGCTGTACTCGGCTTTGCCGTCTTGTTTATGGCACACCTACCACCACCTAACAGCAAGAGAATTGACGACGAAGATTCGGAAACAGAGACTGAGAACTAGATCCGCTAACCACGGTATAAAATGCTCTTTAAAAGACAGTGGCGAAGACGATCAACTAGATGAACATATTAGACTGGAAGGTATATATGCATCAGTGTGGAAGGGAACAAGACTGGCACGTCCTTCGCAAATATATTTTTAACTACCTATATAGATATTCTCTGATAGGACATTGAATAAGCATATCGGATAAATTTGTCTAGATTGGTCTCCCATTGTAGTCAAAGTTGTTCTAAGTAGTACACTCCTTGCCACGTTATATCGTCGGAAACAAACGAAGTCGATCCCACATGCCCTAGGTACTCATTCAGATACAGTTACACTTAATAAAATACCTACGGAAATCTGTGTCACATAGTCCCCCTAACAGTAGATGCTAGTTAGAGTCTCTGAAAGCTAAAGCAACAACTCTTCAATAAATTAGATTACATATCAATCAATTAGAGAGTTACACCTATACGCGTATTACACTTCCATTACTTGATGAGACCGTTCAATCCTGGACAACTCATTCCGCGACTTCCACTTGTTTGATAACAAAATTATGAATCATTCCCTATCATCGTGAGAAACAAGTAATTGAGTCATTGGGTTACTATTTAGGTATCTATACAGCATCATTCGATAGGGTAACTAAGCATTATTGATTAAGAATCTATGGATCATGTTTATATTCCACTAGGTATATATGTGTTAGTTCCCTTCTGGATATTTGAACCTCTACTCCATATACCTCTATTGGTCTACTATATACAAAAAATGCTACCTATTTCCTCTACACGTACTCAAGTAACTTAATTCCATAGCAACTTCTAAAGTCTTTAGCACAGACCTTTTCGATATGTACCTGTTAACTACGAAGAATGCATCGGTCATGTGGTCTGTACGTACCTCAGGTAGATTTATAACACGCGAAGGTTGCTTGACCTTATAACGCCTGGCGAAACTACCAGGTGACAACTATTTACAGCTGCACTTTTAACGGTGACATACAACGAGCGTTGCCTCATTTACCTAATGTACCTAGGTACGCAACCTTCGTCAGATTGCTCCTGCTTCTTCTTTCTAAGATCACTTCATAACATTTATTGTTGCCCCTCAACAGCTCACCGGCTTGTTTCTGGCAGCTGGTAACCTACAAACCTTTCTGCCGTACTCAGGCACTACCGCCTGATTCTTTCCTTCACTGGGCCTACTTAAACATTGTCCATCTTCTCTTCATCTCCCGTTTCTCCATCTCCCATTTCTCCAAGTTTCTAAACAACCTTTTCAAGTAACTTCAATCTAAACTACAAACCCAAAGCCATCGAACATCTCTACTTTCAATCAAAAGCGCGGTTGAATTGATATTCATTCCACCATAATGGATCGGAAATTGAAGGGAATGTTCGGGAACTTCAGCTTTCCAGTCGATTGTATTCGCGCAATCGTACCTTACGATGAAAGTTCCGCGAACCTCCATGATCTTGGAGAAGATCTCACCCCTCCGCGTCAACTTCAGCAACCTTTAATGGGTGAGTCTAATACAAACCTTCAAGCTCTCCTCGAGAGTTACAGGACTAACATCGGCACAGTTAATACACCCACTTCATACCAATCCTATATACCTATCATAGGCATGCATCACAGCTCGTCTCAGGTTCAGACCTTGACCCAGCATGGCTTTGGCCAAGCCAACACTGGGCAAGACGAAGACGAAGTAGATAACGTCAGCCCCGTATCAGGCTTCTCGACCAACTACCACGGGAAGAGGAACGAAAGAAACAGGCCCGATGATATCACAGATGACGAGAATTGCGCTATCTGGATCGAAGGCTTACCCATCGATATTGATTATCCCACACTACTGGCAGAACTTCGAGGGACAGGCAAGATCTATGCCGTTTTCATCAACGACCCTGTTAAGAGGCACCACACGTGCGCCGCGAAGGTTGAGTTCTGGGGACGAGATGGCGTGACGAGACTATTCGAAAAGGTCAAAGATGGCGAGCTCAGGTTTGGTGAATTGGTGCCAACAGTGCGGCCAAACCGCGTGAAAAAGGGCGCGCAACCTGTTTCTCATCGCTCCAGAGTCATAGAAATCACAGGCCCTACCCAATTAGTCAATGTTGTGACTATTACCGCGGTACTACGACAGGCATTCTTCTATGACATGGAGCTAATCGAGAATCTCTGGACGCAGGGAGGGCAATCGATGATGCGGTGGACGTTTGCATCTCACAGAAACCAAGCTGAAACCGCAATGCGCCTCTTCGCCAGTAGGAAGAATCACGTTATACCATCTTTATGGCAGCAGGTCCATTTCCGCTGGGGGCGGGATCCATGCGAGCCTTAGAGGTTGATTTTTTTTTTTGGGGGGGGGGGGTGGTCCCTCATGCTATTTACGCGTTATGGGTGTTTAATTATGAGTTACTCTAGACAGGTTTCATGCCCATAGGACGTTAACGAATTCATCACCTCTAGTCCTATTCATTCAATGATGGTTGCTTATAGATTACATGGCCTGCTAGTATACTGATGCCTATAGTTTATAAGTGGCGTATAAGTTGTCTCCCTTTAATATGATTTTAGGCGTTATAATTTTTGATTAATCTATACGGTGTTGATAAATATTACGGAAAGGTATGTCTGGACAAGGAGAAATAGGGGTAGGGTGTCTTAATTGTTAGTCTTTACTCTTTACTCTACACCGCGCTATCCGTTTCTTTTCTATTTAACCATAACACTAGAATATTATTTCTAATAGAGCTTAGGTTAGTCAAATATGTTTTCTAATAAGATGACGATTGAATTTGTAACGTGATAGTCAAAGCTACACCAGTCGCCCGCAATCTCATGCAGCCGCCCCACGGTACCGGACTCGGAGCTGACTTGGAATCAGTAGCTAACGTCGACATTTATGTATATATTGACGTACCATTCGTGCCGACCAATTATCAAAATGTCTCCGCCTGGCCGAATCGGAAAGATATCTACTCCACCCCACGGAGCCCTTTGCCTCTTCCATATGTAAGCAGGCCACCCTAGTCGATGGCGTGCTGATGGCGTGCGACAACACATTCACCACATTGGTCCAGATCGAGTTCGATAAGTCCCCTGGCGATGTAACAAGCGACCCGTCATTCCCGGTAGCTGTAAATAATTAATAATGGCAAAAGATTTAAGAATAAGTACATTCATTATCGACATCGCAAGGTCGGGTTGCGTTTATGTCAAGATAGCTGTGATACACTTGCTGGAATAAGTGTCTGTGAGATAGAACTGCCCGGTATACTTGCACGTAACGCACTCGGCATCGTCGCAGCTATGGCAGAAACGCAATCCAGACGTGCCCACGTCGGCAGAAACTCGTGGAAAACGGTTCGTACGCTCCTACGAAAGATAAGAACGAAATCGAACTCGAACTCGAACTCGAATGAGAAAGCACAGTCGAATTTAATAGAGGGCATACGGAAAGGTTCCACGCCGACAACAACGACGGATGAATCTGCCAACGTCTCGGTCGCTGAGTTCGCTGTGCCCGGTATGCAGAAGGCCCTCGTCGTTGCTCGTAAGGGCGAATATGAGATCCGCCATGACTTCCCGATGCCGGCGGTCGGGGACGATGAGATTATGATTCGAGGACACTACGTCGGCCTGAACCCTATCGACTGGAAATCTGTTGACTATAATTTCTGCTTGCCTGAATTTCCGTGGGTAGGCTTACCCCTCCTTACTCGCTAGACGATAAAGACTTACAAGAGCCTCCAGGTTACGGGCCGAGAAATGTCTGGGGTAGTAGCCCAAGTTGGTTCTGCCGTTACTCATTTTAAGCAGGGCGACTATGTCTGGACCAGTACGTACTATAAGGACGTTCGTGCCGGCTGTTTTCAGGAGTATGTGGTAGTGCCCTCGCATACTGTGCTTCCTATCCCATCAGGAGTACCTATCGAAGCTGCGGCATGTCTAGGCGTCGCAGCTTTGACGGCATCTATGACATTATGGAAGTGGTTAGGCGTACCGTTTCCGCAACAACCCACAGATAACGAAGAGGAACAATGGCTTTTGATCTGGGGCGGCTCTACCGTCACAGGCCAATTTGCTACGCAGATTGCGCGGCTCAGCGGGATTAAAGTGGTAACCGTCAATTCCGTAGAGACAAAGTCGTTATCGGAGCGCTTGGGTGCGAACCATGTGGTAGTGAGAGACGGAAAATCAGATGAACAGGTTGTGGACGAAATTCGAGCTATCACCAGCGACAATGTCACGCGGGCAATCGACTTAGTAGGACCTAAAACAGCAACCCTAGCGCTCGATGCCGTATCAAAAACCAAGCCCGTCGCTTTCGCACCGCTAGCTATGATGTCAGGTTCCCAAATAATCCCCGAGAACGTCGAAGTGCATACAGTTGAGATGAAGCAATTCGTCCTTGATAAGAGCAACGTCCGCTATACCGAAGAACTCGGAAAGCTGTTAGACGGGGGTCGGATTATTTTGCCCGAGATACATTTGATTGATGGAGGCTTACACTCAATTCAAGGGGGGTTAGATATGCTGAAGAAGGGGAACTTGAAAGGCAAGAAATTGGTGGTGCGGATGTAATAAAAAGGGGTAGGAAGTGTGCTTTTAGTAATGTATTAGAATGCCACTGGGTTTTTAGCCCGTGGGTACAGTATATAGACCAGCATACAGAGGGCGTTGAGGTAGTGTGGCTATTTTATTCTTGCAAATCAATATATGCATCCAAGGCAGAGAGAATTATATATAAGCGCCTGGATCAGAGAAGGTGTGTTGGAATATATTAGTGGTCGGGCCCGGTTGACTATCAACATTGAGATGGATATAGTAGATATAAATAGATGCTAATAAAGCATTATGCGAATAAGTTGAAGAATAATACTATCTACAACTAGCATACAGGTCTGTTACGATGAAAGCCCCATAGCTTTCCGAAAAAGTCTTCTTCATCTCATCAAAACACCCACCCCCCTTTAATCCCCCAAACTAGTATAATTCCAATATATCATATATTACCAAGCAAGCTTAGCCAATATTCCGTTAGGGTATCTCCGTATGAGAAACTTGCGTATCTCGTCGAATATCAGGATGAACAGACCGAAGGCAAAGGGTAGAAACCAGTGTTCCACCGGAACAGGCGAAGTTCCCAAAACTGACTGTAGTTGAGGGATGTAAAGCCATAGGATAGCCATGGATAGAGCGAATATAACTGCTGGGAAAAGATATAGGTTTCTTGTGTGCTTATTAAAGATAGGAGGGTGCTGAAAGACACTCCATCGCCGCGTGCGTACTGCGAGCAAGTTGAACCATTGCCTATACCAAGTTAGCTGATTTCACCACTATAATATTCCAGTCAGATTCCTTACATGACAACAAGGTTGACGAAGTAAATGGAAGATGCCTCATTCAGCTTCTGAGCATAATAGTCTTTATCGATCCAGTCCGGGAGGTCTCCAAAAGAGAACCATAGCACGCGGAACGGTATTCCGTTCTTCTCTAGATACCAGTAAGCCATCGCGAAGGAAGCTATGGTCTCTATCATGCCCAGAACACCATATGCGTGTATAACAAGTTTCCAATCGACTAAGCGGTCCTTCTTGACGTTGCGCGGTTTACGCAGCAGGACATCGGCCTCTGGTTTCTCGTAGGAGAGTACTGTCGCGGCAGCGCAGTCTGTGAAGCAGCTAAATAGTGTCAGCATATTTGCTTATAAATATTCCTCCAGCTCAAATTATGCTTACCAGATGATTATCATGAGGAAAGACGAGAGAATCTGCGGGATTCCAAAGATAACATTGGTCATCACTGGCCAGAACTCAGCGAAACTTCCAGCCGGAAGCAGGTAGCAAATCACTTTCTTCAGGTTATCAAACACCACCCGACCATATTGCACCGCCTCGACAACAGACGAGAACGAGTCGAGCAGTACCATGTCGGCTGCCTCGATGGCAATGTCGGAGCCGCTTCCAAGAGCAATGCCGACGTCGGCAGCCTTTAAAGACGGAGCATCGTTCACACCGTCTCCAGTCATGGCAACCACACCGTCAGTCTGGAACTCTTTCACTATACGTAGTTTCTGTTCCGGGGTCGTCCGAGCGAAGACAATCTCTTCATATTTCGTTAATATTTTCCACTGGTACTCATTCAGGCCCAGCAGTTCCGGTCCGCTAATAAGAATCGACAAGCGGGTGGTGGGAACCTTCGTTTCATCTTCTACCTCCTCCCTAGGGAGCGAGGAGACATTGTGCACCGAGGGCGTAGGACCGCTTACGATGCCGGCCTCCTGAGCAATCGCAAGAGCTGTAAGAGCAAAGTCCCCAGTCACCTTCATGTTGCATATTATTAGCAGGGATACAATACCAGGCTACCAGGCCTCACTTACCATGAATACCCTTATACCGGCACCACGCAGCGTCGAGACTACTTCGCGAATTTCCGGACGTAGAGGATCGACAATAGCTACAAGGCCGACTAACGTCAAGTTCGACTTAGCATGCGTAACGATCTCATCTTCAAATTGAGTTGTTCCGGATTGGTATTGTAGCTCGCCTTGGCGAATGACCTTGCGAGCAAGCAAGATGCAACGTTTTCCCTGACTACTGTACGCGTTTTTTATGTTCTCAAACGATGCCCGCATATCGTCGTCGAAGGGGTGCACATCACCCGCATTGTTAACGAAGGAGGAGCATCGGCCAATAAGGACATCAGGGGCCCCCTTTATAGTCAAAAGCCTAGTATAAGTTAGTATTAAATCTTTCAGATTGTTTCGAGCCTCTTACGTGTCGCCAGAATGGAAATCTTCCGCCTCGGCCTCTGATAGAGTAGCTTTTAGACAATCCTTCCTGAACATGGAAAATGTCCTGACCATAAACTTGTTCTTGCTGTTGAAAGCTAGTTCATACGTCTTCTGCCAGGATTGGCGTAGCTGCTGCACTGAGCCGAACCGTTCAGAGAATCTCAATACTGCCTGGTCGGTAGCGTCACCGAAGACACGGCGCTGTTCGATGGGCAAATCCATGGTTGCGGCGTCAAACTCAGCTGCGTTACAGAGTCCAGCGATGGCACACACTTGATCTACACCTGTTGTTACCATACCGGCGACGGCTGGTGCCGTACTTGTATCCAACTCATCCTCGGCCCCCTCAACTGTAATAGTGTGAGTCCCAATAGTGCACTCAGTGACAGTCATTCGGTTCTAAACAAGATCAGTCAAGAACCAATGGAAATATCGGTGGCCGACGTCGACTCGTTCTTTACCTCGGTAAGGGTCCCCGTCTTGTCGGAGCAGATGACCGACACAGATCCTAGGGTCTCGACTGTCTTCAACGACTTGCATAGGACTTTATGCTTGCGCATCAGGTTCGCGGTAATAGTCAAACCGGCGGTCAATGCGATGGGCAAACCCTCAGGGATAAAAGCGATAGCTACGCTGACGCACCCGACGATGAGATTTGGGACGTTAATCCAATTTGGATGGACCTTTCTGAGCCAAGCACCCCTAAGAGGTATTGTTAGCACTGACAATTCGATGACAGACTTATGCTTCACTAACCAGACAATCAGGACTATAGTAATCATGGTGAGCATGATAGAGCAGATGATGATGACGAAGTATAAAACCTCCTTTTCCAAAGTACTCAGTTTTACTTTGGGCTCGTTGGTTAAAGCTGCGATGCGACCAAATACTGTGCGGTCACCGGTGGCTACGACCAAGCCCGTACAGGATCCAGATACGCAATGGGTACCCTGCAAGCCAATGCAGCGAGTTTCTAAGTAGTTATTGTCTGTCGAGTCTACGGTTGCTGCGAGAGGCAACGACTCTCCGGTTAGAATAGACCTATCAAACTTAGCATCGCTGGAAACTTGGAGGAAGCGCATGTCAGCCGGCAGTTTGTTTCCAGCCTTAATACACACGATATCGCCGGGTACGAGCTCTTGTGCATCGAGGGAGGCCTGGACACTGTTTCGGATGACTATGGAGTCTTCGGGAAGCATATTCTTGATGGAACTCATCACACGAGATGAGCTCCAGTCCTGGAACATATTAAATGCAGCCTGGATGAAGAATACCGCAACTAGAACTATTGCCAGGGCCTAGAAGCGGAAGTCAGAGATACTTGAAGTATATTAGGTCCCCGTCCTATATTGTTACTTACCAGATTAGCCAACGATGGAGGTTGACCGAGTGGTTTCCACGAGATGAAAACTAGAATAGCTCCAAGCAGAAGTATAGGGCCGAATCCTTTAAAGAAATAACCCAAGTATTTCTGGATGGTACGTGAGTCCGGAGGAGATGGGGCATTTCGGCCGTATTCTTTCATTCTACGAGTAACTTGTTCGGTTGAGAGACCCTCAGTCATTGATGCGCTGAGACGCCGGAGGGCCTCTTCAGTCGATATCGTGTGCCATTCGAGCTCGGATAGATCTATATGATCGACGTTAGTAAGCTCCTTGAGTGCAATGTTCGGATTATGACCCCTTACCCTTCGTAGCTTTGTCTTTCGCCTCGGATAGCTGTGCGACATCCTTCTGCTTGGATTCTTCGATCTGGTACGAACTAGAGTCTCGATATTAGAACTACCCGTGATCTATTGTTGTTGAATTGGCAAATAACGTCACTTACACGGTGCGGTACTGGATAGGAAGAATGATAGATGGGTCAACTTCACGTCGCGAGCGCACGCTACGAATAGACATCGAGCCGCTGGATTGTGCACGACGGAGCCCACGCGAAGGGCGGACAGCCTCCTCGTCGTCCCATTTTACACCATGTTTAAGGTCGGGTTCGTCCATTTCGGAAAGAAAGTCCAGGCGTGTAAGTCGATGTACATACACCACACGAGGAAGACGAGATGAATGAAAAGCTCCGAGAATGTAACAGAAAGTCGGTTAATTGAGGTGAAGGTCCAGGTGACTGGTTGATTTAACTACCAATTTATATTATCAGATATTGCTATCTACCTAAGCTACGTAGGAGTCTACTAAGAGTTGATGGAACGCTGAAGTCGGAGAGTAAAGCTGTTGATGACATGCAGGAAAACAGGATGTCGCACTGTTAGTTGTTGGACGTCTTCGCATCTCCTTCACAGTATAACTTAATTACACATACTCGAGGCTCCGTTAAGCTCCAATAATCACATGGTGGTTTTTTTCACCGATTTCAAGCGCCAGGAACCCTAGAGAGATGCAAAGAGGCGGTGCCAATTAACCTGCATTCTTTGAAAATCGAGCTTGACATAATTCGCGCACCGGATCTAGCAAAGCTCTGCTCAGATATCAGCTATCAGCTCCGGGGGGTTCAAAGGTGGGCAAAGTTGTGAAGAAACAGGGTCCAAGTCATAACATATATAAAATCATCATCATGGTACAATTAATAGTTAGGGATGTACTCGGACGTATATTTAAACCAACTACCTAGTAAAGAGGAACCGTGCTTCACGCAGGGAACATCAATACATAAAAGGGCGGCCTCCCAACTTGTGGGTCAGCCATGAAAAGACTCCTCAATATAATATACTATTATATCTCTCACATTACCGACTGGAAAGGGATCTGGCTTGTCTGTGGGGTATGCATTTCATTGGCAAGGATGTAACCTCTCCCCTGCGAATGATGTATTCGTACATTCAAGATATATCTAATATATACCTCTTTTTAGACATGACTTCCGTGTCATGCATATGGCACGGTGGGAAACTCTCTTTGTATATCTCACGCCGCCGTCATTACTTTCTGCCTTACTCCGATAGGTTAGAAGCCATGTAGCTCGGGTTTTCCCCTATCCGGTTGTAAGCGTACGCTTATGGACAGCAGATCTCA